TCCTCGACCCCTCACCCTCCATGGTTTACTGGTTTTCTTCTGCACCCTTGTCATCATACAGACCTGTATCTGAGCACAACCTCTGTCCTCCTGATCTTTCACTTAGTCACTTCCAGACCACCTACTCTGTTTTTTCCTGTTCAAAAAACCAGCTCTTTTGGGGGAGTATAATTGACATACAATAAACGGTATGTATAGATAATGTTAATTTTGAGAAGTTTTGACATAGATGTATACCTGTGAAATCATTATGACAATCGAGATAATGAACATAGCCATCATTCCCAATGGTTTTCTCATGCTCTTTTCCGACCCTCCTGCCCACTCCCCCAGGTCACCATTGATCTGCTTTTGTCATTATAGATTAATTTGATTTTCTAGAATCTTACAGAAATAGAATCATGCAGTATATACTCTTCTTTGTTTGGCTTCTTTCACTCAATATAATTATTTTGATATTCTGTGTTGGTGCATATATTAATAGTTCATTTCTGAGTAGTATAGTATTCCATTATATAGATATACCATAGTTTGTTTATCCAGTCACTTGTTGATGGGCATTTGGGCCGCTTCTAGTATTTGGATATAAACCAAGCTTCTGTAAACATTTGTGTATAAGTCTTTATGTGCACATGTGCTTTCCTATCTCTTGAGAATGCAATGGCTGAATCATATAAAGTTATATGTTTGACTGACAGACTGCTTCCCATAATGGTTGACATTCTCACCAGCAGTATGACAGTTGTAGTTACTTTACATTCTCATTGACACTTAGTATGATCAGTCTTTTTATTTTAGTGGTAGTGGTATCTTACTGTGGTTTTAATTTGCATTTCTCTAATGACTAGTGATCTTGAGCATCTTTCATGTGCGATTTGCCATCTGTATATCTTTGGCAGTCTGTATGTTTGAATTGATTGACCATTTTTTTAATTGAGTTGTCTTCTTAATATTGAATTTTGAAAGTTCTTTATATATTTCAGATTTAAGTGCTTTATGAGATACGTGACTTGGAAATATTTTCTCCCCATCTCTGACTTGTCTTTTCATTCCCTTAATTGTGTCCTTCAGAGAGTAAAAGTTTTTAATTTTTATAAGGTTCAGTTTATAAATTTTTCTATTATGGATTGTGTTTTTGGTGTCCTGTCTAAGGATTCTTTGTCTAACCCAAGATCACAAAGATCTTCTATGTCTTCTTCTAGAAATTCTATAGTTAATATGTTTCACATTTAGGTCCATGATTCCTTTTTTTTTTAATTTTATTCTATTATGTTATGTTAGTCACCGTACAATACATCATTAGTTTTTGATGTGGTGATCCGCGATTCATTGTTTTCGTATAGCAACCAGTGCTTCCTTTTGAGATTAATTTCAAATCCCTCCAGTGGATTGCTGCTTCTGAGTGCTTATTGTAGATACTGTAGTGCCAGAAAGTTCTGTGTTCCTGCTCGACTGGCAACTTTCAGCACACCTTGCACGCCAGCACCCCAAAGTGTGTTTCTCTGTGTTCTTCCTGGTGTGCTATACTGCCTTTGCTTATTAATTAGTTTGAGGCGTGATACAGAGAGAGTTTTTTTAAAAAGAATTAAAACCAAGTATGAATCCCTTTTATAATGTTAAAGTTAGATTAGAACTATATTTGTGAACTAGTGGCCTTAAAAAGATTATCTACAAGATTGTTACTTTGTCAAGAGAAATTGTCAAGTATTGCAATTCTCACAATTGAAAATGAGATAAGCAAAGAAGATTTTGAAAATGTTGTTGGATTTGTTCCATTAAAGCCAGGAAAGTAAGATTATAATGCATTCTGTGTTATAAACAAAATATTTAAGCTAATGGTGAGTTTTAATATTTTTTGATTGTTCAATATTGAGATTTTGTTTTTTCAATATTTTTTCAATGCTTAAATGTTCTGGAAAAAATTTAATCATTAAAAATACATAAAAACATATCTATAGTGGTACACATATTTCCTTTTACCTTAGGCTCCAGTATGGCTCAGCTGAACACTGGTACTTATTTAAAACTTTAATAATGTTCATCATGTTTTTTTTTGCATTAATTTTGATTTTTAGAAGCTATTGTATTAAAATATTATTTATTTTGATTACTGAGTTTTTGGTCCTTAAATCTTGTGCAGACCCCTCACTCTTCTTGTGCTAGACCCAGCCCTCCTTAAAAGCAATAAGACTCACATTCAAAGAATATTTATAAGATACAATAAAAGCCAATAGAAGTTTGAAGTTCATAGAATCAGTCCAACCATTGAATCTAGTTCATAGAATCTAGTCCAACTAGATTTTATTTACTCATTTATTCATTTTCTCCTCATATGAATCAATATAGTGGCAACCAGTAGGGTTGAAGAGGCACCTGAGAAAGGGGTGGTTATAATCATAGTGTGGGTGGTGTATTTAAAAGTCTAAACAGGATGGGTTAGCCTGGTGATGGATATTAAAGAGGGAACGTTCTGCATGGAGCACTGGGTGTTATATGCAAACAATGAATCATGGAACACTACATCAAAAACTAATGATGTGATGTATGGTGATTAACATAACATAATAATAAAAAAATAAAAATAAAAGTCCAAACAGGTGTGATATATAGAGAGAAACTTTTTGAAATTAAAATGAAAAGGATTTCATAATGGTAGAGTGGCAATATCTTTGTGAACTTAGGACCTTAAGAAATACCTAAAGTGGCCAGGCAAAGCTCTCAGGTATTTATCACTGGTTTTCATGTTGAAACACTATGCTATGTGCCCCTACTGCACAAATATTCTTTCTAATGTTGTTCTTATTTAAAAAAGAATGCCTCAGTGGTCCCCTGGGTAGCTCAGTCAGTTAAGCATCCAACTCTTGATCTCAGCTCAGGTCTTGATCTCAGGGTTGTGAGTTTAAGCCCCGAGTTGGGCTCCATGCTGGGCATGGAGCCTCCTTAAAAAGAAAAAAGAAAGAAAGAATAAAAAAAATTAAAAGAGTGCCTTAGAGAATAGCTGATGCCTTATCTTGTGGGGAAAATGTACTTTTCATAAACCAGACACTGTTCTAAGCATTTGTATATATGAACTCATTTAAACTTCATTAAGAATCCGCTATGATAGGCACTGTTAATATCCCATTTTACAGATGAGAAGACTTGAGCATGGTGAGATTAAGTAACTGACTCAGGTTATATAGTGAGTGCGAAACCTGGATTTGAACCTTAGCAGTCTGACTTCTGACTGGCTTGTAACTGCCAAGCTGTACTACTTCACACATACAGGAGTTTCTGAATACAAGATGGGATAGATCAAATATGTATGTATTCATTTTCTATTGCTGCTCTAACAAATTATCAGGTTAATTTCAAAAAAAAAAAAAAGTCAGAGACTGTTGGCAGATATGGATCAGACATTCTGTATGTCTCTTTGTAAAGGCTGTCCTTTCTATAAATATTTTTCTTCTCTCTGTGTAGACATGAGTGGATATAGGCAACTGTGGGTAGACTAAACGTTTAAAACTGTGGACCTATTCTAAGAAGAGAAAGGGCTGAGAAGCCCCAGTGGTCATGCACAATGACCAGGAGAAAGTGTTTCCAAGAATGTGTTGCAAGATGATGGATTTGCCAGATGTCCGGGAAGAGAGCTGTGTGCAGACTTTATCTCAAATCTCTTAAGGAGTGGAGTGTCTGTTGACCCTGCCAACCACATGAGGTCCTCATGGGCATACTGGAGCCGATATTAAACTGAGGTACACCAGCCTTTGTTCAAGAATGGATGAACATGGAGGCAAGGGACAAGGCCCCAGGTTAAGGAGAGGTATGGGATAAAACAGTCCCATGAGCACAGGCACTTGAATCGTAGCTGTGAGAGAGCTTAGTCCAGTAAGTGGTGGCTCTAGACCAAAAATTACTGGAGATGGTTTGGTGACAGGAGAAGTAGAGGGAGGAGGGCACTTTAACTTCCCTTACTCATTCACAAACCATTGGTGATTTAGTGCTGTAATGTAGTCATAACAATGGTGAGTCCACTAAGCCCCAGTATTGTATATGGCACAGCAGTTACAAAATTGTATGCATTTAACTAACATGCATATATTTTTCCACATGAAGATGACCTATAGAAATTTGTTGAGACTAGCTCTATTTCTTGGTGGAACATCTCTTTGAAATACAGTGGTGGGGAAAATATGTTTTGATGTCCAAGTTTTAATTGATGCATAAAACTTCTCACCAGGAGATCTAAATAGTTTTCTCCCCAGAAAAATATGGAAGGAAAGTTCTCTTGCCTAATTTCCAATATATTTTCATTTTTAAAGATTACTTCCTTCTTTAAGGTTAAGATCCCATTTAGAGCCTACATCTGATATTTAGGTAGGGTTGCCAAGACATCTCCATACTAAGACATGACTACATTTATAGAATGATAGGTAACATGTTTCCATCCTCATAAGAGAGACTTTCTAATTGAAGAGGGCTGCAGCATCAAAGTTTTTGCAGTTGACTGGTGTAGTTCTGAGTAAACTTTGATTCCTCTTGACAGTGACCAAAGATTCTGCTAGAGGACTGAACCCATAAATGTGATTGTTGCCACAAGGAAAGAAACGCTGTTTTGAATATTTGCAAAATGTTCTTGTAAAATGTTTTGTGAGCAGTTTTATTTTTAACTTTAGAAATTAGAAAAAATCATTTATTTTATGCATGATGAGATATTTACACATAATCCACTGTGGGCATATATGTTACTTTAATATCAATCATTTTGACTCTTTTAAGAGTTTTGAAGAGGTTCATACTTAAAGTACTTTCATCTTAAAGATGTATCTCTGTCTCCTATGACATTGCTTTGTTTCTGAAGGTAAGTTTTATTTTTAAAAAATTATATCTTTTGTTATAAGTACATATTTTCTTTCTAAAACTGATCTTTTAAAATATATCTTAATCCATTTTGAGTTTTTTTTGTGTGTATGGTATAAATTTACATACTCTATTTCTAACTCAGTGTTTTAAACTTTCAGGCTCAACTTTAAAGAAGCTTCTACACACTGGAAATTCTGCTAAGGTATTTATTTTGGATGAATGTGCAATGGCATTTTGTATCATTCTTAAATTTATTAGTACTACAAAGTGACAAAATTAGGCCATTTGGGGGGAAAAAGGGATCTTTAAAAACCACTCGACTTTATTTTAAATTGAAAATTATATTGCAAATATTGCTAGAGTTTTTGTTCTTACATCATAATTTACTGTGATATACATTTTAAATATTATTCAGAGAACAGGGCTTGGGATTCAGAGTTTGGAGTTTGGAGTTCTAATTTTGATTCTGCTGTGTACAGTCAGGGAACCATTGGCAAGGCACTAAATGCTCCACTTCTATCATCAGGAAAGGGAGGAAGCCAGTTCCTCTCCAAGCTTCAGAGTTAATGTGCTGGATTCTGTTCACCCCCGTAATCTTGTTAAAATTATAGTTGTCTCTGAATTATTTTTGCTGGTTTTGAGAACTATTGTGGGGGGAAGAGCAGCAGAGCCTTACTTTTGAATATTTACCTATTAGTTTGCAGCAGATTGATCTTGTACTTTAGGTTAACTTTGGCTTATTTTAAAACGAACATACCTTTTATAATGATATATACCATTTGATACTAGATAAAATGACCCTAAAACATAAATGGCAAAAGAAACCAGCCTGGAATATGTATCTTATGGGAGGTTATTCACTTGTAGCTAATCAGGTTATGTGTGTACCTTTGATAAGTTCATATATTTTTTGTTTTGTACCAGTTTAAACACTTATAGCCACTTAAATTTGATGTTAACTATCTCTTACATGTTGAAAAAGGGAGATGAGCTATTCTAGCTTCACAGTAGATTCCATATTTTATCCCTCCTATTTTATTCATTTTATTTATTTTATTTTATTTTATTATGTTATGTTAGTCACCATACAGTACATCATTAGTTTTTGATGTGATCCACGATTCATTGTTTTCGTATAACATCCAGTGCTCCAAGCAGTACGTGCCTTCCTTAATACCCATCACCGGGCTAACCCAACCCCCCACCCCCCTCCCCTCTAAAACCCTGTTTGTTTTTCAGAGTCCATAGTCTCTCATGGTTCATCTCTCCCTCCGATTTCCCCCCTTCATTTTTCTGTTCCTTCTCCTAATGTCCTCCATGCTATTCCTTATATTCCACAAATAAGTGAAACCATATGATAATTGACTCTCTCTGCTTGACTTATTTCACTTAGCCTAATCTCCTTCAGTCCCATCCATGTTGATGTAAAAGTTGGGTATTCATCCTTTCTGATGGCTGAGTAATATTCCATTGTATATATGGACCACATCTTCTTTATCCATTCATCTGCTGAAGGGCATCTCAGCTCTTTCCACAGTTTGGCTATTGCGGACATTGCTGCTGTGAACATTGGGGTGCATATGGCCCTTCTTTTCCCTACATTTGTGTCTTTGGGGTAAATACCCAGGAGTGCAATTGCTGAGTCAGAGGGTAGCTCTATTTTTAATTTTTTGAGGAACCTCCACACTGTTTTCCAAAGTGGCTGTACCAATTTTCATTCCCACCAACAGTGTAAGAGGGTTCCCCTTTCTCCACAACCTCTCCAACATTTGTTGTTTCTGGCCTTGTGAATTTTTGCCATTCTAACTGGTGTAAGGTGGTATTTCAATGTGGTTTTGATTTGAATTTCCCTGATGGCTAATGATGATGAACATTTTTTCATGTGTCTGTTAGCCATTTGTATGTCTTCTTCAGAGAAGTGTCTTTTCATATCTTCTGCCCACTTTTTGACTTGATTATTTGTTTTTTGGGTGTTGAGTTTGAGAAGTTCTTTATAGATCTTGGATACCAGCCCTTTATTTGTAGTGTCATTTGCAAATATCTTCTCTCATTCTGTGGGTTGCCTCTTTGTTTTGTTGACTATTTCTTTTGCTCTGCAGAAGCTTCTTATCTTGATGAAGTCCCAAAAGTTCATTTTTGCTTTTGTTTCACTAGCTTTTGGAGATGTGTCTTGAAAGAAGTTGCTGTGGCCAATGTCAAAAGAGGTTACTGCCTATGTTCTCTTCTAGGATTTTGATGGATTCCTGTCTCACATTGAGGTCTTTCATCCATTTTGAGTTTATCTTTGTGTATGATGTTAGAGAATGGTCAAGTTTCATTCTTCTGTATATAGCTGTGCAATTTTCCCAGCACCATTAATTGAAGAGACTGTCTTTTTTTCCATTGCATATTTTTTTCCTGCTTTGTCGAAGATTATTTGACCATAGAGTTGAGGGTCCATATCTGGGTTCTCTATTCTGTTCCACTGGTCTCTATGTCTGTTTTTGTGCCAGTACCATGCTGTCTTGGTGATCACTGCTTTGTAATATAGCTTGAAATTGGGCAACGTGATGCCCCTAGCTTTGTTTTTCTTTTTCAACATTTCTTTGGCGATTCGGGGTCTTTTCTGATTCCATACAAATTTTAGGATTGTTTGTTCCAGTGCTTTGAAAAATGTCATTGGAATTTTGATCAGGATGGCATTGAAGGTCTAGATTGCTCTGGGTAGCATAGACATTTTAACAATGTTTATTCTTCCAATCCATGAGCATGGAATGTTTTTCCATCTTTTTGTGTCTTCTTCAATTTCTTTCATGAGTGTTCTGTAGTTCCTAGAGTATAGATCCTTTGGTTAGGTTTATTCTGAGGTATCTTATGGTTTTTGGTGCTATTGTAAATGGAATCGTTTCTCTAATTTCTGTTTCTACAGTTGCGTTGTTAGTGTATAAGAAAGCAACTGAAATCTGTGCATTGATTTTGTATCCTGCCACATTACTGAATTGCTGGATGAGTTCTAGTAATTTGGGGGTGGAGCCTTTTGGGTTTTCCACATAAAGTATCATGTCATCTGCGAAAAGAGAGTTTGACTTCTTCTTTGCCAATTTGAATACCTTTTATTTCTTTTTGTTGTCTGGTTGCTGTTGCTAGGACTTCTAGAACTATGTTGAACAATAGTGGCGAGAGTGGGCATCCTTGACGTGTTCCTGATCTTAAGGGAAAGGCTCTCAGCTTTTCCCCATTGAGGATGATATTCGCTGTGGGTTTTTCATAGATGGATTTTATGAACTTGAGGAATGTTCCCTCTATCCATACTATACTCTGAAGAGTTTTAATCAGGAAAGGATGCCGTATTTTGTCAAATGCTTTTTCTGCGTCAATTGAGAGGACCATATGGTTCTTCTCTCTCCTCTTATTAATGTGTTCTATCACAATCATTGATTTATGGATGTTGAACCACCGTTGCATCCCTGAGATAAATCCCACTTGGTCGTGGTGGATGATCCTTTTAATGTATTGTTGGATCCTATTAGCTAGGATTTTGTTGAGGATTTTGGAATCCATATTCATCAGGGATATTGGTCTGAAATTCTCCTTTTTGATGGGGTCTTTGCCTGGTTTGGGGATTAAGGTAATGCTGGCCTCATAGAATGAGTTTGGAAGTTTTCCTTCTGTTCCTATTTTTTGAAACAGCTTCAGTAGAATAGCTATTATTTCTTCTTTGGATGTTTGGTAGAATTCCCTAGGGAATCCATCAGGCCCTGGGCTCTTGTTTTTTGGGAGGTTTTTGATCACTGCTTCAATCTGGTTACGGGTTATTGGCCTATTCAGGTTGTCAATTTCTTCCTGTTTCAGTCTTGGCAGCTTATAGGTTTCCAGGAAGGCCTCCATTTCATCCAGATTGCTCAGTTTATTGGCATATAGTTGTTGATAATAATTTCTAATAATTGTTTCTATTTCCTTGGTGTTAGTCGTGATCTCTCCCCTTTCATTCATAATTTTATTAATTTGGGTCATTTCTCTTTTCTTTTGGGTAAGTCTGGCCAGTGGTTTTTCGATCTTATTCTTTCAAAGAACCAGCTTCTAGTTTTGTTGATCTGATCTACTGTGTTTCTGGTTTCTAATTCTTTGATCTCTGCTCTAATCTTAATTATTTCTCTTCTAATGTGTGGCTTAGGCATCGTTTGTTGCTTTTTCTCTAGTTCTTTAAGGTGTAGTTAGTTGGTGAATTCGGGATTTTTCTATTTTTTTGAGTGAGGCTTGGATGGCTATGTATTTCCCCCTTAGGACCGCCTTTGCAGTATCCCATAGGTTTTGGACTGATGTATTTTCATTCTTATTGGTTTCCATGAATTGTTTAAGTTCTTTTTTTGATTTCCTGGTTGACCCAAACATTCTTGAGCAGAGTGGTCTTTAGCTTCCAAGTGTTTGAATTTCTTCCAAATTTTTTCTTGTGATTGAGTTCCAGTTTTAAAGCATTATGGTCTGGGAATATGCAGGGAATAATCTCAATCTTTTAGTATCGGATGAGACCTGATTTGTGACCCAGTATGTGGTCTGTACTGGAGAAAGTTCTATGTGCGCTCGAGAAGAATGAGTATTCTGTTGTTTTAGGGTGGAATGTTCTGTATATATCCGTGAGGTCCATCTGGTCCAGTATGTCATTCAAAGCTCTTGTTTCTTTGTTGATTTTCTGCTTAGATGATCTGTCTGTTGCTGAGAGTGGAGTATTGAGGTCTCCTACAATTAATGTATTGTTATCAATATGACTATTTTGGTTAACAGTTGGCTTATGTAGATGGCTGCTCCTATGTTGGGGGCATAGATATTTACTATTGTTAGATCTTCTTGTTGGATAGACCCTTTAAGAATGGTATAGTGTCCTTCTGTTCTCTAACTAGAGTCTTTAGTTTAAAATCTAATTTGTCTGATATAAGAATTGCTACCCCAGCTTTCTTTTGAGGTCCACTGGCATGGAAGATGGATCTCCATCCTTTCACTTTCAGTTGGTGTATCTTTAGGTTCAAAATGAGTCTCTTATAGACAGTGTATGGATGGGTCCTGTCTTTTTATCCAATCTGCAACCCTGTGCCATTTTATGGGAGCATTTAGGCCGTTCACGTTGAGAATGATTATTGAAAGATAAGAATTTATTGTCATCATGTTGCCTCTGAAGACCTTGTTTTTATAGATTGTCCCTGTAAATTTCTGTGTAGATCACTCTTGGGGTCTTTCTCCTTTTATAGAACCCCCCTTAATATTTCTTGCGGGGCTGGCTTAGTGGTCACATATTCTTTCAGTTTCTGCCGGTCTTGGAAGTTCTGTATCTCTCCATCCATTCTAAATGACAGCCTTGCCGGATAAAGTATTCTTGGCTGCATGTTCTTCTCGTTTAGTACCCTGAATATGTCTTGCCAGGCCTTTCTGGCTTGCCAGGTCTCTGTGGATAGGTCTGACGTTATTCTGATGTTCCTCCCTCTGTACGTAAGGAATCTCTTCCCCCTAACTGCCCTTAAGATGGTTTCCTTGGTTCTAGGATTTGCAGGTTTTACTATTACATGCCAGGGTGTTGGCCTGTTTTCCTTGATCTTGGGAGGGGTCCTCTCTGCCTCTAGGACACGAATGTTTGTTTCATTCCCCAGATTAGGGAAGTTCTCAGCTACGATTTGCTCAAATATATCTTCTAGTCCTCTCTCTCTCTCCACCCCCTCCAGGATTCCAATAATTTTGACATTGGAATGCTTCATGGTGTCACTTATTTCTCTCATCCTATTTTCGTGTTCAGTTTTTTTTTCCCCTGGCCTCGTCTTTTCCCTTTTATCTATATAATGGTCTTCCAGGTCACTAATTTGTTCTTCTGCCTCACTTACCCTAGCTGTTAGATTATCTAGATTAGATTGGATCTCATTGATAGCATTTTTAAGTTCTACCAATTCAGCTTTCATTTCTGCCCTTAGAGGCTCTATGTTGCCATTAATTGATTTCTCCATTCTAGCTATTGTCTTCACAATTGCTAGCCTGAATTCCATCTCTGACATCTTGGTTATATCGGAATCCATTTGTAAATCTGTGGCATAAGTCATAATCTCTGAGTCTCCTATTTTGGGGGTTCCTCCTCCTAGTCATTCTGTTGAGGGGTGGTTGAAGGAATATATATAGTCCAAATTATTGACCACAACCCAAGCAAGATGCACCTGTTTTCTAGGCACGTTAGGGTTGCTGGCCTCTTGTTCTCCCAGCCTGACTTCTGGGAGAGGAGCCTGCCACGCTGTTACTCGGGCAACCCTGTTTGGGCAGAGTTGCCCTGCTCCCCTGTGGCGGGGGATGGGCTCAGTGAGAACCAGTTTTTTGGGGCTCTTGTTCTCTGGTGGCTTTCCCTGGCGGCTTTCCACATCTCTTCCGAGAGAGCAGAAGAGACCATTTCCAACCCTCTGCCTCAGAGCAGAGAAATCGCAATCTGTTCTTCAGTGAGCTCTCCAGGCCACACTATCTCTGTTTCTGTCTGTGCTGGTGTAAACTGCAGCATCCTGGGTCGTGCACCCCTCCGCAGTGCTCCCATTCCTGCCTCCAGGTCGGGGCACATCTCTGCCCTTTGTGCTTCTAAAACCGCCAGCCGCCCCCCAGTTCGCACACGCCACCCCACTGCTCAGGTTTCTGTCTAAAGTCCTTTCTCTGTCACTACGGGTCTGCGAGTCTGTGCTCGGTCGCCAGCGTGGGAGGCTATCGCTCACCGGCGCTGTAGGATCCCAATGGCCAAGCTCCCTTCTGCTGCCGTTTATCCTCTGATATCTGCCCGAGGAATCATGGCTCCCTGCTTCTTACCTTGAAACCAACCGCCTGCAATATTCTGTTTGTAGAGATCCAGATCTTCTTACACCTCAGGCTGATTTCATGGGTGTTCAGAGTGGTCTGGTAGATCTTCAGCTCAATTCCGGTAACCAGTTGGAATAGGGTCCCCTACTCCTCCGCCATCTTTTCCTCTCCCCTTACCACTACTTCTTACTTATCCCTCCTATTTTAATTAATAGTCTTATAGTTAAAATTTATCAGGTTGTGACCTCATGTTTATTATTGGCCTTATTTATATTATGTTAACTTAAATACAGTTAACATAAAAAGTTGGAAGACGTGATAGAATTTTGTAGAAACTTTCCTCCTGTTAAATTTAATATAATTTGGTTAGATATACATAGAGCCATGTCATTTTTGGTCTCTTGTATTTAGCAATGTCACCACTTATTTTGCCTGCTTAGGGAGAGGAGGACAGGTGTGAGTGGTCATGAAGCTTTGTGCACAGCAGTGGTGTGTCCCCAGGCATGTCTGAGAGTGTGTCCTGGAATCCACTGTTGATGGCCTAGAACTGTCTCCAGACAGGGTGTCTTGGTGTATTTGACTTCTATGGGGAGTCAGCCCAGCTAGCTTTTTTCCCTCCCTTGCCTTCCCTTCCTTTCCCTTCCCTTCCTTTGCCTTGCCCTCCCTTGCCTTCCCTTGCCTTGCCTTCCCTTGCCTTGCCTTCCCTTACCTTCTCCTTTCCTTTTCCCTTCCCTTCCTTTCCCTTGCCTTCCCTTCCCTCCCCTCCCCTCCCCTTCCCTTCCCCTTTGCCTTCCCTTCCCTTGCTTTCCCTTGCCTTCCCTTCCCCTTTGCCTTCCGTTCCCCTTTGCCTTCCCCTTTCCCTTCCCCTTTGCCTTCCCCTTTGCCTTCCCCTTTCCCATCCCCTCTCCCTTCTCCTCTCCCTTCGCCCTTCAGCTTGCCTGCAGAGCCTCATGTTTGGCTTCAACACTTGCTCTTAAGGAATCTACACCACCTTGGTGTAGTTGAGAGAAGATCAGGCAGTCTCTAAGTTGCCTACATTTGGAGCTCACTGCATCTTTCAGCTTCATCTGACATGTTTTTCATTTATTTCCTTATTTAATTTCTTATATCGCTGTGATCCTTTCAGCCATTTAGAGATATAGAAACGGAAGTACTTACCTAAATTCTAGGAATGGGATGGAGCTGAAAGTAAGTGTAGAGGAGGACAAAAGGGTATATCTGCCTGTATTGATGTATTCCACCAAGTCATGCTGGTCGTTCAGAGCGCAGGGAAGCTGTTGGAGAAAGCAGAGTAGGGACATGAGGCAGGGAACCTGGAGAGCTGCCCTGTCCCATTGAGCCAGGTCTTCAAGGTCTTATTTAGCTCTAAGATTTTTTGGGAACATTACATTATACATGTGCATATTGTAGTGACATGACAAAAACCCTATTCAAAGCACAGTGTAAATTTTGAGGAAGATTACCTTTGCATTGTTTTTGTGGATAACTGACTGTTGATGATATGGGCACTGTTGTAACTCACTTAACCCTGTACCAGTACTTTGTGGTAAATTCTGTTATCATCTCCATTTTACAGAGGGGGAGACTAATGCATAGAGAAGTTCAGTGGTTCTCCACTGGCCACAGCTAAGCCAGCAAGCAGCAGAGCCTGCGTTCGAACCCAGGCACTGTGGCTCCAGACCCCAAGCTCTTAACCCTGTGCTTATGCAGCACGCCTGCTTCCTTGTCACTAAAAACTAGGTGCAGGAATTTAACAGTACCTTTAACTTCTAGTTTTTGTTTCTCAGAACTGATTCTGCATTGCAGTGCATCTCTGCATAAACATGTGTTTAATTTTGTCACCTTTAATTTTGTTTTTAGATAAGATGTGAAGGAATCAGGCTATTTCTTCTGTGGCTTCAGGCACTTCAGACAAACTGTGCAGAAGAGCAGGTGCTGATTTTTGCTTGCCTCGTGCCTGGTTTCCCAGCGATCATGTCATCCAGAGGGCCCTGTACGCTGGAGACACTCATCAATCCTAGCCCTAGTGTGGCTGATGGTGAGGAACATTAAGCAGACCTTACCGGTTGAAATGACTCTTCAGGTTACATTGAGGGATTCCTTAGTTTGTCATTATCCTGAATAGAAATCTTTATTTCATAGATGGGTTCAGAGGAGGAATTATTCCCTGCTCATATTCACAGTAAAGTCTTACAGACATTAGAATTGAAAGAATCGGAGCCTATTTTATATGAAATGATGACAGGAGAAATATACTGAAGTGGTGGAAACAGGAATGGAAGGGAGGGGACAGAGGTTGGCAATAGCAGGAAGTAGAGACACATGGTGTGTCTGGAGTGTTTTTGTGGCTGTTAATGAGATTTAAATCTGCCATCCAAAACTACTGTTTATTGTCCTCACATGATTGTTTCATGAGTGGACATTCATCTGCTCACCCAGCTGTGTATTTTCATGCAGCATTCATGGGAGGACAATAGTGGCCTCCTGGGAGTATTAATGGCAGTATTAATGGCAGCCATTTGTGTCCTGTGAGTTTTCAAGAAACTTGCCAGTTAGTTAATAGAGGGTAACTTTTTCCACTCTGCAGCGAAGATATATCCAGAAGAAATCACTCCACTCCTACCAGCCGTATCAGGGGAAAAGATCGCTGAGGACCAAACATGCTTTTTTCTTCAAATACTATTGAAATATATGGTTATTCAGGTAAGAGCGAAATCATGGATATAATTCAGTAATGGTCTTACTCTCAACGGGAAAGAGAAAACATTGCTTCTTTTCTTCCTGCTCATATTTTGTATCTTTGCTTTTTCTTTGAGGTGATTCTTCGTGATACTTCACTAGAAATAGAATATACGCCAGTTCACATCAGCAAAGACCTGGCATACATACTATTTTGTGTGAGTGTGTATGTAAAGGAAAAAATTCAGTTCTCCATCTACTTTCATATTATTACTGCATTCACACAGAACACTTGGCTTCTAACACTTGTGGTTACCGGATGTGTGGGTTTTTCCCTCACCAGGTGACTCTGCAACACCAGCTGGGTGTCCTGTCTGCCTTGAGATGGCATCAGATCCCACAGGTTAAGGGCTCAGTCCCATGAGCCTGTTCCATCACATTCAGGTGTCAGTCACAAGTAGGAAGGCCCCAGGTTACCCACAGCTTCTCTACAACTTAGCTACAAATCAGAGGTTCCCACAGCTCCTCCTCAGGTGCAGCTGCTTTGCTAGAGTGACTTAAAGAACTCTGGGAAACACTTGTTTTCATTTACCAGTTTATTAAAGGATATGATAAAAGATACAGATGAACAGCCAGATGCAGAGACACAAAGGGCATAGTCTGGGAGGGTCCCAAGCCTAGGAATGCCTGTTCCTGTGGAGTTGGCATTTGTCACCCTCCCAGTACATGGATATGTTCACTCACCTGGAAGTTCCCTGAAACCCCTGCTACTGGGATATTTATGGAGGCTTCCTCACATAGACATGCTCTGCTTCCAGCCCCTCTCCTCTCTCTGGAGGAATGGAGGACTTGGGGTGGGGGTGCTGAAAATTCTAAGTTCTAATCATGGTATGGTCTTTCTGGTGACTAGCCCTCACTCAGGAGCCATCTGGGAGCACCCCTCCTCGCCCCCCCGCCCAGAGTTGTGTTATTAGAACAAAAGATGCTCCCTGTGCTCTTATCACTTAGGAAATTACAAGGGTTTTAGGGGCTCTATGCCAGGAAGTGGGGCCAGAGACCCATATGTATTTTCTATTACCTCATAGTATATTAATCTATTTTTGCCTCTTCGCTTCTTCCTGACCCCTGATCCTATGCTAGCAAGGCAGGATGGAGGAGGAGGCAGGCCTGGAGGCTGAACTGGCAGATCAGGAATAGGCAGAGCAGGCAGGAAGATTTGGGCGAAAGCATATGGTGTTATCTCTTTGTGCCACCAGCACAGACCTACTTGATGTCACATGTTCCTTTCTCTGTTTACCAACTGAATACGGAGTTAGTATCATTAATTTGTGATTTCAGTAGGTGATCCCTTTCCTCTAGTCTACATTTCTGATATGGTTCAAAAAAAAGCTACTGAATTCTTTTCTCTCAGCCAACACTTCTCCTGTCTCTGAATTCTTCCTGGGAACTGTCTCTGTGTCCTCCACAACCAAGTTTGTTGACTTTATCATCTCTGCTCAGTCCACTTTCTCTCCTGACACTCACTACTACCTGCCTCTGCCCTGTCACTGCTAAGACGGAGGCCCAAGATCCCTGAAGGAGGTTTAGAGGTCAAGTCCAGAGGAAGGACACTTTAGTGTTTGCCTTACTTAATCTTTCAGGTGATCTGACATGGCCCCTTCTTCATGATATTCTCTCCTCCCCTAATGTTTTCTTCCTTCTTTCCTCCTCCCTTTCTTCTTGGCCAGTTTTCTTTAGGGGACTGTTTCTCTCTGCTGTCCCTTAAGATTCAGTCCTTGTCTCCCTTTCTGACTACTCTGTCCTATTGGGCAATCTTATCTGCTCTCCTCTTCCATTTCCTTTAGCCAGCACAAGAAACACAGGGATTCCAAAATGCCGAGAACAGACTGGAGTATTCTGCTGTCTTCTAGAAGCGTGCATTTTGGCCCTACTGGCCCATTCCACCTGCATTTCAAACTCTACCTGTTCAGAAGCGGTAGGGTATCCATCTGTCCCCGGAGATTGGCATGGAGTATCGAGAAGTTGGATGTGTTGGGGCACTTGGGTCTCATTCTAGATGTGTTACTAATGAGCTGTGCAACCTCAGATATCACATAATCTCCAGAATCCCACTGACGGAAGGATGCCGGTAATATAGGGTGGGGACTTTTATGCAGACTGTGAACCCCCTGAATCATGTGCAGACTTGTATGTGCATGTCCATCCCACTCTTCTTCCCTCCCTTCTCTCTACTGGGTCCTCAGAGCAGAGTTTCTCCCTTGGCTTACCCCAGAGAACTGCCGACAGGTTGCCAACACGGAGCCCCTCTGCCCCAGGGGCGGCCAAAGCCCCTCATCCCTTGACCTCAGATGCTGCACAAATGTTTCCACTTTCTAAGTGGGCTGCGTGTGTCATGAAGGAGGTTGGGAAGCTCTGCTTTAGAGTGCTCTGTGTTCTAACCAGTATTAAGAACCCGTGACAGGTGTAGCTGGACTGGCAGGCCTGGCTTATCTTAGCCTGTGGATTGCATTTAATAAGGACAATGCACTTTCCAAGTTTCTGTAGCTTTGCCTTCTGATGATACTGATTTTTCATATAGGTAACATTGGGTGGAATTCTTGCAAGGGATTATTTCCTTAATTCCTGCTTATTATAAATGGCCCTTTTTGAGTTTAAAAAAAAAGTACCGGATTACATCTGACTAAATGTTTTAAGGGCAGAAAGAATGTTAAGTCATTATAGAGAACAGGTGGAAAAAAATACAGGCATGATGAGTAGAGCAAGTTTAAAAACATATGATATCTATCATTGGGTGATTTTTTTTTTTAATACTAAGTCAAAATATCTTTAACATAGTTAACTTTTGTTTTAAAGCATTCTTGTCATCGTTTGAGTTTTAAGATATAATTTCATTACATGATTGTCAACATTATTTGTCAGCATGATTTTTTTTTAATTTAGGATCAGAATTTTAATACAATAACAGCATTTCAGTTTAGTAGACATTAAGTTGAGATGTAAATGTACATATGTTCTTTCCCACATATTATCCAAAGGCTGCAAGCTTGGAGTGGAAGAATAAGGAGAATCAAGATACTGGTTTTAAATTTCTTCTTACATTGTTTCGAAAGTATTATCTTCCTCATTTATTTCCATCATTTACTAAGTTAACAAATATCTACAAACCTGTACTTGGTAAGTACTGATTGAGCCGTGTCTAGAGGATGTCCATAGGGAAGCTGTCCATTCTCTTTCAAAGTGACCTTTGTTTATTTTTAAGTAAAATAGTTATTTTATTCTTATATTTAATGGTAACTTTATTGTAAGAGGTTTAAAGTTTCCTAATAAATGATTTTACCTATGTGTCAAACTACGTATTTGTACCTCAGCCAATAGCAATAAAGGGGACTGGGGCTCCTGTACTTAGAAATAATTCAACATGTGTCATGATTCTTTTTGGTGTAATTATATTTAAAATCTTTTAATGGCTCTATTTTATTGAAACTGTTTATTGAAGGCAGTGTTCATTATATCACACCAGGATGTTAAAGTTTGCATTTCCTTAAGTCTTCTCTTACGGATGGTGGGGTATGGTGACCCCAGGCCTTGTCCAGTGGCGAGGCAGGCCAGCCCAGGCCACACAGCTGCCCACAGTAGGCCCTTTCTTTTATCGTGGATCTTCATGCAGCAGGTGCTACTTACAGCTTCTTATGGAGGAGCCGATGTTTGGGCAGCTGGGAAACCAGAAAGGAAGGAAAGAGAAGGGAATTTCTAATTCTGCTGGTAAAGTTTTTCTTCCATGAAAAATGAAGGCTCACAGGACAGAAGTATCCCTTAGATTGGTACTGGGGAGGGGAGGCAAATTTTCTTCTCCCTTTTATTTTAAAGCAGGCAAAATTAGTTAAAATGAATAATCAGGAACAATTTTGGAGGGGAAAAGTTTACAACAGACATTAATCCATCTGGGGAATGTGGACTACTAACTCAGTTGTCTTGGGTGTTTATTTACATATACACACACGTGTGCACGCTTGGATCAGAGGAAAATAGCAGAAGCTTGATACATTTTGAAAGATGTAGAAGTACTAATCTTTAGAGGTACTGCAATAAGTATTTGTTAGCTATATATATGTGGGTATTGTTTTCAGAATTTGTTTCTGATTTTATAAATAGTCTATATTCACTGTGGAAAACACAGTATACTTTAATATGCTGAACTTAAATTTATTTGTTGAGAACTTGTCTGCCTCATGCAGGTAACTCCAGGTGTATAAAAGTTAGTTAGAGAGTTGGAAATACAACAAGTAGTAGCTCGAATCCAATACCATGTAATTTTTTGTATTGATTATGAAATTTAAAGAATGAGAAGGGGACTTCTTATTAATCCTTTGGAAATGGTGGTGTCCAATACCTCAAAGATGAATTCTTTCAGACATAAAGTAGTTTATACAGATTCTATTCTTTGGATTCATCTAAAGGGAAAAGGATATAAAACTAAAGTCCCATGGATTTGATTAGTGTAGTATTGGATGTTAAAATATCTAAAATGATTTAAAAAATAATAAAATGCCTAAAATGATGAAAAATGTCTATGCTTTTAGGTTTGTTTCAATCATATAATAAGATTAAATGTTGTATGTGAAAATATTTTTACTCTTATAATCTCATATCGTCTCTCAAATTTGTTAAAAATAGTTATTAGCTTAGTACTTCCATAGCCATATGCCCTAGCTGTAACAAGCAAACAGTAACAGTAGCCACCGTCCCATCTTGGTCAGGTTGCAAAGCAGAATCAGAAACAAGTCTACCAAAAGATGTCATCTTTAATAGTTTCTGGTTCTTTAATTTTAGTTGCTATTTATACGACCAAATATATATCTGCTTAGTTAGAAACTGAACCATTTGTGGGGGTTACACTCACTAACCTAATCATGTATTCTGTTTTCTTCCAGACATCCCCCATTTGAGACCAAAGCCAGTGTACATTACTACAGCTCGAGACAATGAAAACATTTACAGTACAAAAATTCCATACATGGCAGCTCGCGTTGTTTTTATTAAATGGATTGTAACTTTCTTTTTGGAAAAAAAGTATCTAACTACAACCCAAAACACTAAAAATGCAGTTGATGTACTGCCCAAAATCATACAGGTATGTCATTCATCTTCTTCTTATCTTTTACGTAGGTAAGAATACACTAACACATACCAAAGTAATTGATTATTAGGATTTTGGTTCTCCAAGGATGTTGGTTATTGGGATTGGTTTTATTGGTGGGCTCTCTCTATATTGTTGAGGTGTCAGAGGGAGCTCTGAGGTAGCACTTGCAGTGCTCTGTTGACATTGCATGACCAGGCGATCTTGGGGGCCAGGGAGACATTCTGAGAAGATGGCTATTGTGCGCAGACTCCTGGCTCCCTCTCATTTTCCCTCCTTTGCTCAAGTAACAGTGACCTCAGAGCATAAGACCAGGGGCCTGTGTTGCCTTCGCCAATCCCCAGCACCAGGAAGGCCCTCAGGAATCATGTAGGTGGGCCATGGGAAGGACCCGTGAGACTGCCAACTGCCCTTCTGGGATCTCAGGGGAAGGAGTAGAAGAGCATCTCAGGATTTCAGGGTGCCATGATGGAATCCCTGGAAGAAAAGGCTGTCTCTCTCCAAGGCCTTCAGTGAAGACCTCTTTCTTTCTTTTTTTTTTTTAAAGATTTTATTCATTTATTTGAGAGAGAAGGAGAGATAGTGAGAGTACAAGTGGGGAGGAGAGGGAGAAGTGGGCTCCCCACAGAGCAAGGAGCCCAGTGTGGGGCTTGATCTCAGGACCCTGAGATCATGACCTGAGCTGAAGGCAGATACTTAACCGACTGAGCCACCCAGGCACCCCAAAGACCTCTTTCTGTGTGGGGCCTGTGGTGTATCTTCCCTCTCTTGAGGTCCTTAATCACAGACAAATAGGGCTTTCCCAGCAGGCTGAGTTGCTTAGGGACTTTGTGCTGGGTAGAGCAGGACCACTTGGAGAGGTTCGAGAGCAGCTGCTTCATGGCAGGGACATGGTTTTATGCACAAAGTGTGGTTCACTTAGAGCAGGTTTGCTGATGCCCTGGAGTTCCCAGAAGCGTGACTAGGCCTTACCTGGAAGAGTGTACACACCTGAGTGACAATTAGCATCTTGATGGAAGAGCACCAAACTGAGGTCCAGATCACGTGTCCTCATTGATAAGAACTGACTAAAGAACTGGAGAAACATTTTCAAAGAAGTCTGAGGGGAATACAATTACAGTAAGAGCAACAAAAGACTTACTGAAGATTTTAAAAGAAAGCTTTGGGGTGCCTGGATGGCTCAGTCAGTTAAGTGTCTGCCTTCAGCTCAGGTCTTGGTCCCGGGGTCCTGGGATGGAGTCCCGAGGCGGGCTCCCTGCTCAGTGGGGAGTGTGCTTCTCCCTCTCCCTCTGCTGCTCCCCCTGCTTGTGCTCGCTCTCTTGCTCTTGTTCTCTGTCAAATAAATTTTAAAAATCATTAAAAAAATTTAAAAAGCTTTAAAAAACCTTAAATTCATTAGTTTAAAAATCTAATAGGTAAACTGTAAAACACAGTAATGATCACTGCTGAGAACAAAATTGATTTTCAAAAGGAATATCCCACAACACTAAGGAAAAATTCAAAGAGATGGAAATCAGAAAAGAATAAATATGATCTGAGGTCAGGTCCAGACCTACTTTGCAAGGCATGAGGACAAAAGGAGAAAAAATCAGAAGTGATAATTTGAACGAATGCAAAATTGACTTGAGTTGAAAAAAAGTCATGCCTTAGATTAACAAGGCCTTCAAGTCTCAGGGAGAATTAGCTAAACAGACAAACCTAAACAGACATAAACCTATTTGACTTTCAGGGATTAAGAAAAAATTATCAGAGTTCCAGACAGAAACCACAAGTTCCTTCTAGAAAATGAGACAGAGTAGCATTGAATATTGAATCTAATCTATAACCCTCAGGGCTGAAAGAACTGTCAGTCTGTCTGTCTTTCTCTCTCTTTCTCAGAACCTTGCTTCATATCACAGATGTCAGACTGATTTGAGTTCTAAATTGATTTAAGGTCTAAATATAAAAACAAAATGATAAAGAATTTAGGGGACAATCTAGGGGAATGTATAAATTTGGGAAGTGGTAGGCTACCTTAGGTAGAGATAAGTAAGACCCATAAGCCACAGAAGAAATGAGGTTCCACTTTATTTTAAAAATTTGAAAAAGGTTGTATGTCAAAAGATAGAGTAAAGCCACATGTGGGCAACAGACTGTGAAAAGCATCTGTAACATCAGAGCTGTTAAAGGAGTTCATGCCTCTGATATATAGAGAATGCCTACAAATTGATAAGAAGACAAACAGTCCAATTGAAAAACAGACAAAAGGAGATGAAAGAAAAGTTCACAGAAGAGGAAATAAAAATGACCCTGGATTTCACTATGAGCCGGGGAACACTTAGTTCTGGACCATGTTGAGAGACCTTTATTCACCCATCAGGTAGACAAAAAGTAAAAATCATCAGGTAGACAAAAATTTGTATGAAATCATATATAAGAAACTCAGTCACACTCGGATAAACTTTACATTGTATCTTGTGTGGTTGTTAAGTCAGTTCAAAACAGTCTATTTAAAGGCTATGACTTTTTCCTACCTGGTTTCAAAATTTCAGAAAACCATCACTGTATTTATTGAAAGTAAGTTTCTCATTCTTGAAAAATACATTTGGATGATGAGAAGTAGCAAGAATAGTAGATTAACCACTGATTCAAGGTTCTAGTTTTTTTTCCTTAGTTGGTTATTCACACTTGTGAGTCATCTACTTTTATTATCTGGCTTTCTTAGTGTCCGTAAAGGTCTGACCTCCTGAATCAGTTTGGATGGTTGTATTATCCTAACAGAAAAAGACTCCATAACTCAAACTGTCTTAAAGATAAAAAGGAAATATTTTAATCTCATAAAGAAGAAGCTCAAGGCAGGGCTGGCAGAGAATGTGGTTTTTATTCACACTCTCTCCATGATCCCCTACAGTTTTCCCTCCTCTGCCCTTTCCCTCTGGCAGGTTTTTCTTCCACACCCTGTTGATTATAAGATGGCTGCCAGCAGTGGGGTCACTGGCTTCCTTGTTCATGTTCAGAGACAACCCAGATATTTTCTGTAAAGCCCTTCCCTTTTGTCTGAGTGGGACAACCTAGGTTACTTGTCTCTCCTAGAACAATAACAAGGCACTAACTGGCTTAAAGCTGGCTATGTGAATGGCCCAGGAGGGACATGAATGACTGGCTTCCATGACAGAACACTTCCCTGGTACTGTGGATGGGACCAGCTTCCTGTGAGTCACCTGCGCTACAGGGGAGGAGGCACACGGAGCACTGGGGTTCCATTAGGGAGGGGGAATGGATGCTGGGCAGACAACTATCCAGGCCCAGTGCTACCACACCCTGCAGATGGCCATACCCAGAAATGGTTGCTGCCATTGTATAGACTCTCAATACGCCTCACGGTGTGCTGCTATAGTGAATTACAAACTTTCAGTGGCTTGGAAATTTATTATCTTGCAGTTTTGGAAGTCAGAAGTTCAAAATCAGTCTCAGTGTGGTAAAATCAGGGTGTTGGCAGGTCTGTGTTCCTTCTGGAGGCTCTAGAGGAGAATCCATTTTCTTGCTTTGTCCAGCTTCTAGAGGCTGCTTGCATTCCCTGGCTTGCAGCCCTTCATTACATCACCTTTTCTCCCTCTGTTTCCATCTTCACATTGCCTTCTGTGTCTGATCCTCCTATCTCCTGTGGATCCTCATGATTACATTGGGACCACCCAGATAATCCAGGATAATCTCTCCCTCTCACACCTTAATTTAGTCACACCTGCTAAATCCCATTTGCCAGGTAAGGTAAGATACTCAAAGGTTCTGGGGATTAGGGCATGGACATCTTTGGGAGGGTCATTATTCAGCTGATCAGTTAGCTCCTGTACTCCCTTCTGTGCCTCACAACTCTTTTTCCCACTTCATCTCACATGTGTCTGTGTTCCTCTCTTCATCTGCATTGTGCATGAGAAAAAGCAGCAATTTAAATAATTGAATATTAGATTTTGGAGACAGAGTTGTAGGAATAAAAGCACATATAATTTCATTTGTCTCCTGAAAGTTTTTGTTTGGAATTTCAAATTTAATATAATTTGGCCTATGTAAAGTGAATTACTTAATCAGTTGATCCAAATCTCCTTTCAAAGAATATACTGCTCTTGTAAAAGCCCTTCAAAACAATATTTTAAGTGCTGTTTCCAAATGGAGTTTACACTTTTGCTCTTATCACTGTATTAAAGGTCATGTTTGAGGGGTTTTTTGGTGTGTTTTTTTCCAAAGTGAATTTGCTTCCGGATCTAAAACTAATACCTTTAACAGTATTTTTCACCAGGGAGGAGAGGACTTAGTGTATCTTCTAGACTAAGTTTTCTTACCACTTGTAGAATCTGGTATAACAAATACTCATGGGAGAATGAAAAGACAGTTGCTCTTACATCCGTATACTATGTTGACAACAACAGCATAAACCTGAACAAAGCTGTACATTCTTGGTGCATCATTTCAGCTGAAAATGTGTTCAGTGAAGTATTGTTTAGTCCTTAGTAATTCATTTTTGTATGAGATAAAAGTACTTCATACATTAGAGAAAGCAGAGTGATGATTTTAAGATTTCATCAGTGACCGTTTTTTACCAGTTCTATAAGCATATTAATTGACATTAAAACCCATAAAAGTCCATTTGGGAATGAAAAAAAATTTGAGATGATACCGGTTTTTTGTATGATATTTGTATGATAACCCTTAGTTACACTTTTTATTATGTCAGAATACACCCTTCAATAATGATTCATGGGCTGTGGGTTTCCTGAAATTGTATTTTGTGGAATGAACGGTTAGAAAAAGTGAATCCCACAAATTGACAACCCTATAGGAATTTGTATATTAATTTTTTTGTTGACTCCCACTCTAGTAATTTCTGTGTCCCAGAGCCTCTACCGAGGCAGTACAGGCTGCCCCCAACTGTGTAGGAGAATCATGACAGGGGCATTCAGTGGCATCAGGCATCACCACCAGCACGGTGGTTGCATCCTCTCGTTTCACACCTGCTTTGTGGGTGTCCCCCTTTAGCTTGACCCTGACAGTGAACAGGTCTGAGAAGAAACCAGATGTTGGGGAGGGTTGATGGGAAGGGTTAAGTGGCAGCTTGTATCATGCAATTTCCTGAACCCTTGCAGTGCAGGCCTGGGCCAAGCTGATAAGTCTGTTCCACAGACTAAGGCTTCATCATGTGCCAAAGAAGTGAAAACCATTTTTGCATCTGCCACCAGAATCAACTAATACTAAATAATAGTTGAGAATTCCAGCTTGATTGTAGTGGGTGGAAAATGGACCTCTCTCTGTGGTTAATTCTTACGTATGCTTTTACTGTTAATCTTCATAAAAGAGACAAGATATGAGGAAACTTGGATTATCAGTTTGTGTTCACTCTTAATCACTCACTGTAGTTATACGTCTGTCAAAACATATAGATGTTTTCAGAAAGTAGCCTTCTGTGGAGGGAGTAGGGACTAAGACTAAGGAAAGCATTGTTCTATCAAGAGAAGTCGTTTTCAGTTTATGGCAGATGGGAAATCCATCTCTTATGTCCTATTTGGATAACAGAGTTCACTTTTAATTTTTTTAAACTTGTTTTGATTTTTTTAATTGAAGTATAGTTGACACACAATGTTACGTTAGTTTCAGGTGTACAACATAGGATTTGACAAGTCTGTATGTTATGCTATGCTCACCATACACTACCATCGACCATATTCTCTATGCTGTGCCTTTCATCCCGTGATTTATTAATTTCATAACTGGAAGCTTATGTCTCCCATTGCCCTTCACCCATTTTGCTTCTTCACCCACTGCCTCCTCTTTGGAGGAGTTTGTTTACCAGTTTGTTCTATGTATTTATGGGTCTGTTTCTGTTTTTCAGTATGTTCAGAGCACTTTTTAAAAATTACTTGGTGCCTTTAAACATATATCTTTGTTTACATTATTTTAGCTACCTAATTGCTGTGTTACTCAATTAGTTATCTAATGACTTCAAAACTTGGTGGCTTAAAACAACAACCCTTTTGTCATGTTACATATACTTTTTGGGTCAGAAATTTGGGCAGGATCTGGTTGGACAATTCTTGTGCTTCATATGGCGTTAACTGAGGTCAGTGGGTGGTGGTCTTCAGCTGGCGGCTGGTTGGTCTAGAGGGTTCAGGATGACTTTATTCACATGCCTGTTACTTTGATGGGTGCAGTTGGAAGGCGGGGCTCAGCTGGGCCTCTCTAACAGGGTCGTTGGACTTCTTCCCTGGCTGCTCAGAGCTCCAGTACCAAATGTTCCAAGAGATGGGAAGTGGTAACTGTCAACCTCTTGGACCTGGGCCTGAAACTGGCACAGGTCTCTTCCACTCTATTCCACTGGTTAACACAGTCACAGAGCCCATGTGGATCAAAGGGAAGGGGGTATCATAGAATTTGTGATCATTTTTAATTTGCTATATATGTACATATGTACATGGGGTTTTTTTCCCTCTTTCTTTGGCCTGTGGGGGAGAATGGGAGTTATTGATCAAAGAGTCACAGGTTATGGAGCCATAAGAGAGACATTAGACTTAATCCAACCTCCGTAGTTTAGAGATTAAATATATATGTCAGTAAAAATGAGTAAAATTTTATTTTTTTATGAAGATAGTTGATGCATCAAAAAGGATGAAATAATTTCTATAGGACAGCTCATCTGACAGTATGACAGTACCTTTGATAAGCCACACAGACTTAGTAGCTAAGGCATGAAGAGAAAAATTATTATAAATATAATCTTCCATTAATTTTCCCTAGAGATTGCTATTTGGATATCTGCTTTCAAACTGTCCTTGGTAGTTACTGAAATTACTATTTTGTACTACTCATATCTTATCATTTGTTGTAAAAAATATTCACAGTGGGTAGAATTTTAGTGGTATTTGGGTTATACATTTTTGACACTTAAAATGATAGTGGAATTTACAAAAATGAAGCAAAATTATACGTGTATTATATTTGGAGGAAACCTTTAATTCTATGGGGAGATGAGAGCAGAAATCCACAATAAACATGTGAGTCATTGCATGAATTATTTTATTTTTTTGTGCTCTTAAAGCCTTCTAAATATTTAACGTTTTGTAAGTATTTCAGTTAAGTTCGATGTGAGATTCTGAATATAAAACTCAGATCAAGATTCTTCTCATAAAATACACTCTAAAGATCTTGACACTCCTCCATCAGGTGTCACTTAGTCTCATGAATTAAATGATGCTTTCCAACATTGTGGCTGCAAAAAATCCACTGAACTTTCAAGTCTGTGACCATAGAGTAACTGCTGAATTTAGAAACCAAAGGTGATCATAGTATAAATTCATTGACACAATTTGTACTATGATTTTGCAAATATAAGTTAAAGTTTTTAGGTTGAGAAAATTTCACAACTTCCCTCCCTGCAATAATTTAGTGTTTTCCTGTTAAAATAACCAAGTTGGGGAGGGGTTAGCTGGTGAATTGGGAAATTGGTGAGGACAGGTCTGGGGCCCCTTGTGCTTCGAGCAGTGCTGGTGTCTAGCTTGCCTTCAAGTTGATGGTAACTAGAGTTCTTTAAAATAAAGCAAGTCTTCAGTTTCACTGGGTGTTCTTGTGTGTCAAAGAGGCTCACTCAGAAGTGGTAATGGCTTTCTTCCAGACTGTTGGTGGTGGTGTGGGGCAAGAGAGGGTGCCAGCGGAGCTGGATGGCGGCGGGCCTGCAGAGCAGGACAAAAACCATTCCAACAGCAGCACCTTGTCCGACCGAAGACTCAGCAACTCCAGCCTTTGTAGCATTGAAGAAGAGCACCGCACTGTGTATGAAATGGTGCAGCGGATTCTCTTGTCAACACGAGGTTATGTCAACTTTGTGAATGAAGTCTTTCGTCAGGTTAGTGTGTGTGTGTGTGTTTGTGTGCATGTGTGTTGTAAGTTCATGAAACTGAAGAGAGTTTTGTTCATGTTCTTTTGCTCATAGTACTGCAAGAAATACTATTGATGAGTTGGGCTACATTGCAGGGCTGAATAATGATCCCTCTAATCCTGCTTTTAATTTGTCATGTGGAGTGTTGTGATTATGTTTATGATTTTTTAAGATTTTTTTGTAAAATTTCTACACATGGAGGGGAAATTCTATATATGAGCAAATCATCCCCAAAATACCCTCATGTGTCCATAAGAAACTTGAAACCCGGAGGTAGGTGGGAAGAAAGCCCTTGCTGAATACTCATCAACAAATGAACATGGCAAAGAGGAGCCCCAGGCTGGTGTTGTCCTGAGGGCCCGAGGGAGCTCTGTGGAGGCTCTGCAGATGGTTGTACTTTCCCTGCAAACACACATGGAATGCACGTGTGATAGAAGTATTTATGACATAAGAGGAAAAAGCTGGGAAGGGAGGGGAATAAGGGGAAAGCAAGGGCTGACACTGATAGAGCAGCCGGGTGGTGGACACTGTGGTGGGCGAAAAGGGAGGGGAAGTGCAAACAAGAAAGAGGGTGCAAGTGAGGAAGAAGACAGCAGAGCTAGATCAGAGGCCAGCAACGATTAGCAGCCCTGAGCGACAACCGGGGCTGGCTCTGCCCCCCAGGGGACCTTGGGCATTGTCTGGAGACATTTTTGGTTGTCACAACTGGGAAGAGGGCAGTGCCACTGGCATCTAGTGGGTAGTAGCCAGTGATTCTCCTGTAGGCACAGAACAGGGACTCCATTCCACTACCCCATGACAGAGAACATCAGGCCCCAGTGTCAGTATGCTGCTGTGGAGAAACTCGGACAGAGGAAGCAGAACCGGCGGTGCAGGGAAAGACAGTAGCTCTGTGGTGTGGGGTGGAGCCACTGGCCACCTGCCTCTTGGTACTGGTGCCCTGGGAGACAGAGCCTGGCTTTTCTGTGGGTGTGTTAATGTGATGGGGAGTAGCTTTTGAGTCTGGGCACCTGCACAGACGGTGAGGCCCCTGAATGGCAGAGACCATGACTGGTGGGGAGAAGGGGAGGAGTCCTGTGCCCACACGTGAACCGTGTATGCGCACCATGAAGAGCTTTTTGTGGAGGGGCAAGACTTCTAGATAGTGATTAACCCCTTCACGTCGGAGACTGTCATTAAGGAGAAATCAGCCAAGAATGAAAGTCTCAGTGTAATCCATAGCAATCTGGAGGTTTTACCTTATTTTGTATTTTAATGAATAAAAATGTTTGACTTAAGAAAATATTAGTTTAAGCTTCAATGAAAATTCCCCTTATAAAATATTTTTCTGGTTTTGGATCTCAGCACTGCCTTGGTTCTTCCTACTCCCTAACTGTGTCTTCTCTGTCTCATTTCTTGGCCCCTTTTTATTTGACCCCAGATTCCAAGAGTCAACCAAGGTTCTGTAACTCTACACTTGCCTCCCTAGGGCCTTCAACTGCTTGTGCAGAGCCAGCAGCTCTGTGGCATGAGACTCCCAGTCAAGCCTTTTGTCTGGACCTTGCTTCTTGTTTGCACACTTGCCTTTTGAAATGCCCACTGGTGATCTTGTCTGATATTCTAGTGGTGTCTTAATGATAATGAAGCGAAAGCTTAGCTTAGTTTCTTCCATAACATCAGCTTCTCCTCATGACGTGACCACTTCTTTAACGGGACTCGTGTTCTTATGTGCATATTAATTTTCGCCCTCCTGTGCTCCTTGTCTCCTGCTCCTCCTCTAAGCCATCACTGGGCAAGTCATGCAGGAGGCTTTCTCACTCCTGCTCCCTCCTTTTCCTTTGACTGTGGTTAGCAGCATGCTCCCTGGAGCCCCACACCTGCTATGTCATCCCTTTCTAACCTATACTGTATATGTCATGCTGCCAAAACATTCTTTTACCATCATAATCCCTGATTTAAAAATCTACCCTATTCTCTTCATTAATGTTGCCCTGTTGGGTTCCTGTTGTACACATGGAAGGTACTTGGTAACCATTTAATTTGATTTGAAATCATCAAGGTCCTAGAGGGCATATAATTGAGGATAGGGGTCATATAAAGGAGCAGATAAGAATATTTCAGACTTTGTTGATCATGTGGGCTCGGTTGCAGCTCCTCAGCTCTGCTTTCACAGTGAGAGAGGAGCCGTGGGCAGCACCTAACAAAGAAACATGGCTGTGTTCATAAAGAACTTTATGAAAGTCACTTGGCAGGCTGGATTTGGATGATAGGCCATAGTTGCAGACCCTGATCTGTAGCAATGTTTTAAGCTCTTGGATGCCAGTGCTTACTATAAGACTAGATATGATTGACAAAGCTTATAAATTTTGCACACGAGATACATGCTAAACTGATGTGGTTTTACCTCTATTGTGTAAATTGTTAATTTATCATACGGACAGTTCTGTCTGTATCCATTATTGGCAAGAGCGTGCTCTAAATTCAGTTCTGAAGTAGCTTGGGCCACGGAGGTAACTGCAAACTACTTATGACCGAACTTCTGAGACATCTTTGTGCCGTGAAGCCAAAAAACATTTTATTTACATTTTATCATTATTCTTCATCAAATCTAATTTGAAAGCGTATATGTGAAATTTAAAATATGAGTGTTGTGCTAGTTAAAATACTAGGTAGAGATGCTTGTAGGGGCATGGTTTTAACATTGTGTTCTATTGCCCTCTTGTGGTCAATGATGAATTTTTATTTTCTGGATGGCAAAATGTGACTCCTTTCCTAGTGATTTCTTTTTCAATTTTGAAGTGTTCAGAGACTATTAAATATTTAGGCCTAAAGGCCATTCAAGTTTAAAATGTACATTCAGGAAGCACATGTTCTCAGTAGGGAGGTAAGATGTGTGTGTGTGCACCCGAGAACTGTGCATGATGGCAGATCAGATGTCCACGTGTGTGACATGGAAATAAATGCTGACGAGGGACCCCGGGGGCAGAGAGGCTCGTGGCAGGGCTAACGAGCCCTTACTGCTGCCCCAAGCAGGCAGGCTAGCAGTGAGTGGTAGAGGCTTCAGGTGGGCCAGTTCTGGTCTTGGGGTCACTCTGCTGGAAACTTGTCTTCTTACCAGTGTTTTTCAGACTACTTGTTGTGACCATTTTTAGGTCATGAAATCAACTTATCAAAAGCCAGTATTTTGGGGTGCTTGGGTGGCTCAGCTGGTTAAGTGTCTGCCTTCGTTCGGCTCAGGTCATGATCTCCAGGTTCTGGGATCTAGCCCCACGTTGGGCTCCCAGCTCAGCGAGGAGTCTGCTTCTCCCTTTCCCTCTCCCCCTGCTTGTGCTCTGTCTCTCTCTTTCTCTCTCAAATGAATAAATTAAATCTTTTAAAAAAAGTTTTTTAAATAATGGAATAGAATAAAATAGACCAAAACATTTCAGAGTGTACTGCATGTTCTAATGATTAGTATTTCTTTGTGAAACTTCTAAAACAATATTTATGTATATACTATATATAAATGCATATATGCTTCTGTAATATGTCTTACTTAGGTTATAGGTCTGAAAAGTTCAAAGCACTGCTCTAAAGGTTATTTGTTGATTACATTATTCTGTTTGTTGTTGGTTTTGTTTTAAAGAATATTTTATTTTTAAAAAAGCGAATGTTCATTAGATAAACACAGTCTCAAGCAAATCACTCAAAATACTGTCATTAAGCAATAACTGTTGATGTTAGAAGAGTATCATTTCAGGTATTTCTATATGTGTGTATTTGGCTGCTGGCCTGGCTACCTAGATAAGCAGATAAGAGCCTGGCAGAGAGGAGATGGGTAAGGCAGGATATAAACAGACAGAGAGCAGCCTGGCAGACAGACAGGAAGGCTTACAGATGAGCTGATAGACATAAACAAACTGGCAGGCAGGTGTAGAAGATGAGACAGGTGGAGGTAGACAGGCCAGCTGGCAGAGGTGGAGGTGAGTGGGGTGGTGTAGACGCACGGGTGCATAGGTGCAGAGAATGTAGCAGGCAGTTAAAGATGGACAGACAGACAGACAGACAGCCTTGGACGGGTGAATGTAAAACCAGACAGAGGTTGACAGAGGTGAAGGCAGAGGCAAGGGGAAGGTATGTGGAAGTGCCGAGGAGGGGTTGAGAGACTGACAGATAACTTCATGACAATGGAATCTTTAATTCTTAATGATTCTTTCATGTATTTTTAATGAAGAGCTCTGAATTTCATTTTATTTGAATTTAACAGAAGAAAAGAAAATAAAGAGAAACAGAATTGTTAGAAATTCAAATAAACATTTCTTTACCACAAGAAATATTAACTACTAAAAGATTTATCTATAATGAGAAGATTATAATCACATTAAGGTGGTGGAATCACTTTTATCCCCATGGTGTAATTTTAGATAGCACTAGCTGAAGAAGTTATCAGCCTTGTATTTTCTTCAGCCTCCTCTCCCCATCCACTTATTTCATTATATTATAAATTGATAGCCTAAATTTACCATTATTTGTGGTCAGTTTTGGAATCCTAATGTGCAGAATTGTTTAGTTTTGGTTCTGAATTTAGATAGACTCTTTCCTCCTGGTGTCTTCAGTCCTAACATGCTTGCTTTGATTGACTTCTTGGATGGCCTCGTTTTATCATCAAGTGGGTGTTTCCAAGAAGGTGTCTTGAGGCTCTAGTCCCTGAGTTCTTTTGTGATGAGGAATGTTTTCCTTTTGCCTTTCCACATGAACAGCAGTTTAGCTGGGTATAATAATTTCAGGTCACCCTTTCTTCCAATTAGGAATTTGTAAGTCAAAACTTTTCTAGAATTTTCAGTATGAATACCTTCAACATGTTTAAAGTAATAAAAGACAAGCTTGGAAATGTTTCCAGGAAACAAGAAATTGTAACAAATGACTAAGCAGATTTGAATAATAAGATAATAAAACTTCTAGAAATGAAAAAAAATGTAATATTGAAATAGTAAAGGAAAACCTCAGTGGGTGAGTTTAAGAGCAGGTTAGGTACAACTGAGAACAAATTAAACAGATGGACAGATCTGAAGAAATTATCCTGAGTGTCCCTCAGAGAGACAAAGATGAAAAATATGAGAGGTTGAGACATGGAGAATATGGCGAGAAGGTAGGAAGCATGAGTTCCACTCTCCTCTATCCTTATTATTTTTTATCTGCTGTTCTGCAAGTTACTGAGAATATCCTACTTTGACTGTGGATTGGTCTATTTTTTTTTCAAAGTCTATCAGTATTTGCTATATATATGTATATGTGTATATATACCTTCACATATGTATGTATATATTTGAGGCAGAATTATTAGTTTTAGTATAGATTCACAAATGTATGTTCCTTTGAATTGAATCTTTCATCAGTAAGAATTTTTCCTCTTTATCTCTAGTAATGCTTTTTTTTTTTTTGCCTCAAAGTCAGTCTTGCCTATTCTTTTTTTTTTTTTTAAAGATTTTATTTATTTATTTGACAGAGAGAGAGAGAGAACAAGTAGGCAGAGAGGCAGGCAGAGGGAGAGGGAGAAGCAGGCTCCCCACTGAGCAGGGAGCCCGATGCGGGGCTCAATCCCAGGACCCTGGGATCATGACCTGAGCCAAAGGCAGCCGCTTAACCGACTGAGCCACCCAGGCGCCCCAGTCTTGCCTATTCTTAATACAGCTCTACCAGTTTTCTTTTGGCTAGTTGTTTGCATGGTATATCTCTTTCTAACTTTCTACTTTCAATCTCTCCATATTCATATGTTTTGGATGTCCTCTTATATATGGCATATAGTCTTTTTAATAGTTTTTAAAATCAAACCTTATAATTTCAATCTTTTGATTGGAGCATTATTCCCTTTACAGTTGATATAACAACTACTGTAATTGTGTTTAAGTTTACTATCTTACTTTCTGCTTTCTAATTGTATTGAATTCTCTCAGGCTGGTTGTTTTTAGCATCCCATTTTTCTCTTCTAGCTTAGTATTTTTATACTCATTTGTAATATTTTAATTGTTAACATCCCTAACTTAAAATCTAGCATGAATTTCAACTTTTACACTGTAGGTCTGCACTCCAGTTCCATTTATTCCTTCTCAGTTCATATGCCCTTGCTATGTACAGATTTGCCTCGACTCACAATGCAGTTACGTCCTGATAAACCCATCATAAGTTGAAATACCCCCATAAGTCAAAAATGCATTTAATATACCTAACCTACCAAACGTCATAGCTTAATCTCAGCTACCCTGCACATGCTCAGAACACTTACTTTAGCCTACAAGTTGGGCAAAATCATCTAACACAAAGCCTAGCTTATACTAAAGTATTAAATATCTCATATAATTTATTATTTGAGATTATTCCATACTGGAAGTGGAAAACAGAATGGTTATATGGGTACAAAATGGTTGTAATTGTATCAGTTGTTTATCCTTGTGGTCCCAGGGTTGACTGGGAGCTGTAGCCCCTGCTACCACCCAGCACCACAGAGAGTGTCATACTACATATCCCTAGCCCAGGAAAAGATCAAAATTCAAAGTACAGTTTCTACTGAATATGCATTACTTTTGCACTATCATAAAGTTGAAAACTTCTAAGTTGGACCACTGTAAGTTGAGGGCCACCTGTATTTGACTTCCATCTTATGAATATATATTATTCATATATATACACATATATTATCTCTTTTGTAACTATTTTACCCAGTTTTATTCTTTTTATTCATATATATTCGTATTTACATTTTATTCATTTAGATTTATCCAAATAATTATCCTTTTATTGCGTTTTTATCTCTTCCTGAATCTCTGATCCAGGATTATTTTCCTTCTGCCTAAAGAATAACTTTTAGTATTTCCCTTAGGTTAGATGTCCTGGTAAAAGTTTTTCTCATTTCTGTATCTGAAAATTTCTCTATTTTGCTTTTGTTTTTGAAGTGCAATTTTTCTGGATAGTGAATTCTACATGGGCAGCTGTTTTCTCTTTGCATATTGAATATTTGTTCCATTGTTTCTTTGAGAAGTCATGTGAGGTCATGTGGTTGCTCCTTTGGAGGAAATGTCTCTTTTTTCCTCTGGAAGCTTATAAGATTTTCTGATTGTTCTTGGTTTTCAGCAGTTTTACTGCAATATACTCTGTATTTACCCTGCTTGTGTTTGTGATTCTTGAATCTGGATTGCCATCTTTTACCAATTTTGGCAAAATTCTCAGCCATTCTCTCCTCAAGTATCATTTCTGCCCCTTTTTGCTAATCTTCTTTCCTTGTGCATCTGCAGCCATGCATAAGATCAGCTATTCATTGTGTTCTCTCTCTTGCCTTCCCTTCTGAGTTAGCCATCCTTTCATCTTGCCGTGCTTCATTCTGGGTGTTTCCTTCGGATTTTTCATCCAGTTTTCAGCCATGTCCATTCTGTTAAGCCACACACTGAGTTTTTAATTTTGGTTATTTCATTTTCAATTCCATTTACATTTCTTTTTGAAACTTTCTTTATCCTGATTTCCTGTGTGTTTAAAGTATTGTCTGGTTTTTATTGTGGTTTTGTTAATATTGACTTCTTTTCTCATATTTCTGATTTTTAATTAATATGCTACATAATATTAACCAGTTTGTACAAATAATTTGGGTTTTACTATGATTTTATTTTCCTACAGAGAAAATTTCTATTTGCTTCCTGGGGGGAGGATAACATGATATACCTCGATTTACCTCATTGTCTACATTTTTCAAACCTCATCACATGGTCCACTTAAGATTTGTGCATTTCATTATTTATAAATTTTATGTAAAGTACCATAAAAAATTTTGAACTCTAATCAGTGATACGCATGTTGAAATATTTAGGGGTGAAATGTACTGATGTCTGCAGATTTCTTTGAAATGCATCAAAAATAAGATGGATTGAAAGAAGGATAAATAGGGGTGGATTGACAGATATGTGGTAAACAAATCTAGCAAATGCTAATGGTAGAATCTAGGCGGCAGTATATAGATAATCACTTTAAAGTATTTCTACTTTTTTGTATGTGTGAAAATATTTGTAATAAAATTTGGAACAAAATTAGAGTGGGACACCATTGTACTTTGTCATACTCTGTCTTTGTTGATCTTTCTTGAGATACAAGTCAGAATATTTGTTACATTGATATGTTACAGTCTTGTTATAACACAGACTCCTCTATTCTGGAATTTGATGCAACATCGATGGAAATTTATATATTGCATGAACCCTTGTTACACTGAAATCTGCCTGTAATTGGATCCTGTGGCATGAACATTAAGGACAGTATTAAATCTCTGAATCTTGAGATCTCAAGACCTAGAATCATCACTAACTTACTTTGTAACCTTGGGAAAATATCTCAGGTGTTCTGAGCCTCAGCTTAATTCCTCATCTATGGAATAAAAGCATTTCCTGTAGTATTGAGTTCCTTTCCTTTGTGTTTACCCCTCAGACAGAAATATTCCTTAGATCTGATACTCAAAAGGGAAATACATTTCTCCTTTACCTTTTGGCTCATATTTTTGGAATCTTACATTAAATCAGAATTCTTACATGCATATGTGTAAAGAGATTCTTTAATGTTAAATTCATGGGGTGCCTGTGTAGCTCAATTGGCTAAAGTCTGATTCTTGGTTTTGGCTCAGGCATGATCTCAGCATCATGGGATTGAGCCCCGCGTCAGGCTCTGCGCTCAGTGCTGGAGTCTGCTTGCCCTCTCCCTCACCTTCTGCCCCTTCCCCTGTTGTGCACATGCTCGCTCACTCTCTCTCTCTAAAATAAATTTGAAAAATGTCAAAAAAAATAAAAAAGTTCGCATAAATGTGCACAATGCTACAACTGGCCTGGGACTCTCTTTAATGTATTTTCTGAGAACCAACATTCACCAGCATACCAGTGAGTACAGAACACCTGAGTACAATCTTTACTCACTGGTATGCTGGTGAATATTGGCTCTCAGAAAGGGAAGAGAAGGTGTAAGGGAGGGAGGAAATAAGGAAGGAAGAGAAAGACAAAAAAAAAAAAAAGAAAGAAAGAAAGGCTCCAGTTATTAGCATTTGTCAGCTTCTGTGGTGTAAATACTCCCTCTGTCACCTACACAACATCCCTGAACATGGATTGGGCAGAGGTGTGGCAGTTGGCTGCAGCTGGCTGCAGTAGTATGTCTGTTGTCTTATAATCAATTTCTAATTCATTGGGAAAGGTTCCCAGTTGTGTAACTATTATTGTCTGTATAGCCAATTAAAGTATCTGTGTAGGTGTGCATGTTGGCTATTTTTGTGAAAAAACTATTCAGAATGCAGAAGTTATTTTTAAATTGCATGACATTTTCTGGCCCAATTGAAAATGCCTTTTTTCCTCAGCAAGTTTGGTGTGCACAAAAATATGTGGCCCTGTATGTTTCAGAGGAAAGTCTGAAATTAGTGATGGTGATTGGAAATGGCTGTTATGTGTGTGTTACAGTGATCTAAGCAGGTGTGGAGTTAAAGGGAGTCTTCTCTTCTTATTTTAGGCATTTTTGTTGCCTTCCTGTGACATAGCTGTAACAAGGAAGGTAGTTCAAGTGTACAGAAAGTGGATCCTCCAGGACAAACCTGTGTTCATGGAAGAACCAGATAAGAAAGAAGCTGCCCAAGAAGATGCTGAAAAATTAGGATTTTCAGAGACTGACAGCAAAGAGGTAATATGTTATCACTTGTTGTTTCAGTTGGGAGTACACATATTTTAGCAAAGTATACCCGGTCAGGCAAAGGTGCTGGTCAGTGGGACATAGACCAGCGGGGCTCTTTTATCATAGCTGATGCTCTCAAGTTGCTGAGTTCCATGAGGATCTGCTACAGTGAGGCTGCTTCTGGGCTCTATTCAGGGTCATTGGTCCCCTACCAACCCTCAGGCTTGGTCTGTGTGTTCATGGCAGTTTCGTTATTCACTGTTGCGTGAGAATTGTTTTATAAACCACCTTTTACACATCTCTGTGTGAGACTAAAAATGTCACTGCCTTATTGGTATTGACATGTTTAAATAAATAGCATTTGAGAAACTAAATATAGAATGTTTTGGCAGTCTTGTCTTGTGCAGTGGCCTGTTCCAGAGCAGTTGAAAGGTCTAACCTAATAATGAGTGCTATCTCCTCCATTAAGAAGCCTCACTGCAGGGCTGGGTGCTCTCCTCAGAGTGAGAGCTGTTGGAATGGAACTTTTAGTCCTGGTTAGGTAAAGCTTAGAGGCTGGATAAATCTAAAAGAACCAAGATGTCCATTGACAGATGAATGGATAAAGAAGATGTGGTCTATATATATAGTGGAATATTATGCAGCCATCAAAAGGAATGAAATCTTGCCATTAGCAACGACGTGGATGGAACTGGAGGGTGTTATGCTGAGTGAAATAAGTCAATCAGAGAAAGACATGTATCATATGACCTCACTGATATGAGGAATTCTTAATCTCAGGAAACAAACTGAGGGTTGCTGGAGTGGTGGGGGGTGGGAGGGATGGGGTGGCTAGGTGATAGACATTGGGGAGGGTATGTGCTATGGTGAGCGCTGTGAGTTGTGCAAGACTGTTGAATCACAGATCTGTACCTCTGAAACAAATAATACATTATATGTTAAAAAAAAAAGTAGGAAGGGAAAAATGAAGGGGGGGAATCGGAGGGGGAGATGAACCATGAGAGACGATGGACTCTGAAAAACAAACTGAGGGTTCTAGAGGGGAGGGGGGTGGGAGGATGGGTTGGCCTGGTGGTGGGTATTGAGGAGGGCACATTCTGCATGGAGCACTGGGTGTTATGCACAAACAATGAATCATGGAACACTTCATCTAAAACTAATGATGTAATGTATGGGGATTAACATAAGAATAAAAAAAAAGGGGCACGTTCTGCATGGAGCGCTGGGTGTTATATGCAAATGATGAATCATGGAACACTACATCAAAAACTAATGATGTAATGTATGGTGATTAACATAACAAAATAAAATTTAAAAAAAAAACTAATGATGTATGGTGGCTAAAATAACATAATAAAATTTAAAAAATAAATAAAAGTGTGTATTTGTTGCAGCAATTAGCAACAAACATTTAAAACTGTAATCAAAGGCATATCACTTTTAAATATCTGTATTAATTCCATAATTTTGATTTTTTAATATTGGTGAAATCATTTTAACTGGTCATGAGGTCAAAATGAATAGATAAGTAAATGGAATTTATCACACAATTTTAAAGGTCTGTGTTACAGACTCAGTCATTGGACCTTTGTTTATTTCTTCAGCACATACTAAACGCTAGGCACTATTTTAGGTGCTGGAGGTGGTGAACAAAATGGAAAAAAACACTTGTCCTCCTAAAACCTATATTCTCATAAATTTTGGTGAGTGTAAGGAATTAAATATGCAAACATGTATTCTTCCCCCTCCGTTAATTGATTTTTATCTTCTAAAGACCTCATCTGAAGGTTCTCGTCATAAGCGATCTTCTAGTTGGGGACGAACATACTCCTTCACAAGTGCAGTGAGCAGAGGATGTGTGACAGAAGAGGAAAATAAGAACGTGAAAGCCGGGGTCCAGGCTATGCTGCAGGTACACAGCCAGCCGGAGACATAAAGACCTCCAGTTGGAGTCAATTTGAACATTTTGTTTATTGTGATAGCCTCATTAAAGTATGGTGATACTTTTATCTACCTGTCAGTAAACAGCTCTTAAGTTCTCATTCTGAGTTTTCTTCCTGACTGCTCACCTTCAATTTGTAAAGATTTTTTTCTAGTCAAAGGAGACCCTATGAGCTGGTTGCAGGTTTTTGAGAGGGATTATTACGCAGTGAATGTGAAATGACTGAGATCCAAATCTTAAAAAGTATCTTCTGAACACATATGGGGAGTTAGTCAGTCACCTGGACTCTAATTTGCAAGACAAGCATGATGATTATATAATCTTATAAGGAATATTCTTCTTAAAAATTACCTGTTTGTGAAGAATGATGATAAATGCTCTAATTTTTAAATATTTATCTGTATGAATATATAAAATAGAACCGATGCCATTTGGGAACAGTGGAAAGAACAACTTTGGCTGATCACTTAATCTTCCCAGACCTCAGGTTTTTATCTCAAAAATGGGGATTGGGAGATTGATTACCTCTTGGTTCGCATCTAGTTGGAAGGCTGTTAGGAGTATAAGTGAAAACACAGAATGCCTCTCTTTCCCCTGCTCTCTGGCGCCCCACCCTCCACCCTGTATCCACCTTTTTAGCCATGTGGCGCCAGTAGGCCTCCCACACAGAGGCCAGGCATGAGGTCTGAGGTAGCATGGGCATGGTTTGCCTGTTGCCCAGTTTTTAATGACACTGCTTGTGTCATCCATTTCTTGATAGGATTCCTTGTCATGGTATCCTTTTCGCTTTCATGTTCATTAGCAGTTTAATACTTTGTAACTATTGAGTTTTTTCATTTTTCAGTGAAAATCAGCAAATAATTTGAAATTAACTTTAAACAGAATCAAGATGATTTTACTAGAGTAGTTTCAAAGAACTCCAGTGCCAGTTGTTAGTAAAATCTGTGCCTTCACCAGAGAAGTGCATGCAGGAGTTCCTGCCTGTGTCTCTTGGTAGTCCTTGTCCTCCAAGTGGATTGCCTTATGCCATCCTCAGCCATTTCACTGCCAGTATCTTCCTAAGTTCAGGAGACTGTTAATTTGTTTTCTGAAAGGATAAGTTACATCTACTTGGCCAAACCAAGAAAAAAATTTTCCACTTGATTATAGCAAAACAGTGTTCAAAAATGTTTAGTTTGGATTATAATAGCTGTTTTTGTTCTCTTTGTATCCAGTATCTTTGGTCCTTTCCTTGGTTCATTAGGAAAAAGTGGCCAAGTACAGGTTGAATAAGTTAGTACTCTTCTGCAGTTGCTGTTGACAGGTACAATTTGGACATATTAATTTTCTTTATTTATTTTTACTTTAACCAATACTGACATGGTAGTAAGAAATATTCATGGAGTTGGCATTTTGATCTTTTTTAAAAAAGAAAATAAAAGGTGAATATAATATATGAAGACTCCTCACTTTTACTTGGGAATATGCAAAGTTTCAAATTCAAATCAAGAAACCAAATACATTGAGTTAAAGATCTGTCTTAACAGTGGATCATCTATGCCGTATGTCTTCCAAAAACATGGCCACTAGCGGCACCCGGGTGGCTCAGTTGGTTAAGCCTCTGACTCTTGATTTCTCAGCTCAGGTCTTGATTTCAGTCAGGATAGTGGGGGAAAAAAAAAAAGGCCACTAAAATTATACTAAAACTGCTATAGTTGGTTAGTCAAAAAGTTCTTTGTTTTCCTTTTTCCCACTTGAAGGCTAGTAAATTCTTCACAATTGCTGTTATCTGTTATCAACTATTATAGTGCTTATTTAGTAATTCTTTCTAGAAAATTGGGCCATAACACCTTTTTAATCTTACACAAGATAATCTTAGAGGCTGTCAATATTTTAGTTCACCCACTTGACTTTTGAGCTTGTTTATTTTAATTTCTTCAGTTTGTGCATCTGTTTTAAGATGTTGTGTTAATGGATTTCATTCACAGGTGAGCCAGCAAAGCTCTGTTTATTCCCAGATCCTTTGAATTTGTACTGTTGAACACAAGGGAGACTTAAGAAGGCATAGGATCTAAGTAGATGGTACACATCCACCTTCATCACCGGACTGACAACTCAGAGTCTCCTAAATTGAGGGGTCACTGGTATCCTCTGTGTCAGTAGAAACACAGTGTTACTTTACTGTAGTGCCCCTAAGCAGTCACTTCCTACATAATAGCCTGCATCTGTGCTTCTCACTGTTTTCTACTGAACACCCCTGACAGTAAAGGATAGTGAACTTGTAAAGGACTGAGGTAGAGTGTAGAGTGGTCAGCTGATCATCTAAGTTTTTTTTAATCTGTTTTTATCCCAAGAATTCACTTAGGTTTTATATCCTATTGCATAATATAGTTCTCATATTAAAAGTGTACCTGGAAGCACCTGGAAGCTATATACTGTTGACCATGTGGCCTTGTCTGTTTCCTGACTCCTTACAGCTCCTAGAGATCTGTACCCATGTTGGGTGGTGCTGGCTGTGCTTCCTGTCAGCAAAGTTCATGTGCTGGGAGATTCAACAATAATCAGATGGTTTTTCCCAGCCACTGTCTGGCAGCTGCACATCTTCCTCTCCCCCTCCCCGACCCCAAAATTTCTCACCCAGAAGCAGTGATCCTATCTTGCCGTTTTCCCCTTTTCCTTTGAGGGAATGTCAAAAAGAAGTCTTCAAAAGCTTTTCTCATTCATAAATTTTCTAAAGTTGCACTATTAGTATGTATTAATAATTTTTTAGAAAAGGTCTTTCAGGTGTCTCAGGTGATTCTAAGAGAAGCATTTAAAAAAAATCTTGAGTATGTGTTGGTGCCACTTAACCTTATTGAGACAACTCAAAGGTGATTCCTTGGTAGAGGGAAATTAATATCATTATCTTTAAGAAAAATTTGTTCAGATCTTTATGTTTAATTACATTTTCTATGTAAAATTTGTTGATTTCAAGGTATTTTTGACAAATGCAGCAAACGTCTTTTTGCTGGAACCATGTCCTGAAGTTCCCATGCTCTTGAAAGAACAAGTTGATGCCTGTAAAGCTGTTTTGATTATTTTTAGGCGCATGATAATGGAACTTACAATGAATAAAAAGACATGGTAAGTTTATTTCAAATTAATTAATACTGTAAAACAGATGTTTCTGTTTTTCAACATAATAATTCAAAGGTTAAAGTCTCCACTTACTAATGAATGGCTTTACAAAGTTAATAGTAAGATGATAACCAATCTTTTGTAACAGTTTCTGTGAATTATGAAGAAGTATCCAGCTCTTTGATAGTTTATTTTTATTATTGGCTTTAAAAACATTATTGAATTAAAAGTAGTCGTATTACTTAATAGTAGATTTTTCCATTTTAAATTGTCATCAGACTGCTTTGTGGAAAAGCAGCATAACTGGTGTTTTATATCGTTCTTCATAAGCCCAGGAGAGGTTGTTAATTGCTCTGAAATGCTGTTAACTGATTTTTATTGCTTCAAATTTGAAGCCTTAAATTCACTTTGAAAAAACAATTATTTTAAATGACAAATTGTCAGAATGACTAAATAGTACCGTCAAACATATAGTGGCGTCATGAAAATGTGCTTATGCAAAATGTTTTCGTTTTTATCCTTTGTTTTTGTTTGGTGTCTGTGTGTTTATAATATCCCTGAAAGTAAACAGTGCTGTAGGTTTTTCCCATGCCCTTGTCCCGTAATGAATGCATCACTCCAGCTTAGGAGGTGTTTTCAGACGTTCTCAGCAACAGAGGCCTCAGAGCCCCTCTGTAATCCTCTTTCTTCATGTCCCTCAATTCTGGTTGTAAAATGCCTCTCTAGCCTGTCCTTTGCATGTTCTTCCCACCCAGCGCTGCCCTGGAGTGGCCCGGCTGGGTCAGCCCTGCTGTCAGTGAGCTTTGGCCTCTGCGCTCAGTGCGCAGGACGCTGCAAACCAGTTCCAGTGGCCACTTCCCTCATGGAAATCCTTGGTGGGGCCGCGTTACCAAGCCTGTGTTCTGGATGCTTTTTCTGGATGTCCTTGCATCAGCACTAAGGGGGCTTTGGAAAGTTCTGTGTGCACCTGGTGGAAAGCATGGAAATGAGACTGGACTGAGCTTGCAGGGGCCCCTGGGGCTGTGGAGTCCAGCCTTTTTCTTTCTCTGGTGAAGGGAGGGTGGGCCTAAAGGAATCCGGTCAGGTAGCAAGTTCACTGGTACAGAAACCACAGGAATCAAAATGATTATTTTAAGGCATAAATTCCAGGGTCATCTTTCTCAGGCTGGAAATATTACTGTGATGAACAATATGATTTAAACAAAGTTAAATGCTGTGTCAGACGTAACATTGAAAGTAATGAGAAATACTGGTATGCTCACAACAGAAACATCTCCTCGATAGTATAGCAATAGTATTTTTGATGCGTTTTTTCTTTGAAAACTATGAATTCAGTTTACCTTTGTATCAGTAGTATTTTGATCATTTTGGTAATCTTTTTTGGTGAAAATTCTAAGATAAAATTAAGCAAATCTTTTCTTTAATAATTCAGAAATTTCCAGGTTAAAGTATTAAGAAAAAGCAAGGTACAGAAATAGACGAAAATACCAAAAAATAGTCAGTAGCACATAGAAAGGGGTGTGGCCTGTTTCCCTAGCAGAATTTCCTATGCATTTTAGTGTTGGACAATCCCTGAATTCCTTTCTCCTTTCTTTCATCCAGTATATAACTACTAAGCTCCTGCTGTGAGGATATAAGGTGAACTAGACAGAGTTTTGCCCTTGTGAGGTTTCCATCCTCATAGACTGAGAGACAGAAGGAATGTAGCAGTTTCAGTGGTATAAGCACAGTAAAGCTGGGAAAGGGGACAGAGTGGAGGGTGAGGGAATGTTTTTCTACAGGTGTCCAGGAAGACCTTTGTAAGCAGCACCCTGAGGACAGGGAGGGAGAGGCCAGCGGGAGGTCTGAGCATAGAGCTTCCCATGGGAGGAACGCAGGTACCAAGTGTGGTGTGTTCTAGGCCAGTGTAGTGGAGCAGACAGAAGGAGAGGGAGGGTGGGAGGGGATGTGACAGGGACCAACCAGAGCCAGGTTGAGTGGGGCCTTGCCGGCCACAGGAGGGACATTGGCTGCTCCTCTGTGTGTGCGCAAGAGTGTGACACAATCCAGTTTATGTTTCCAGAGATTTCTCTGACTGCTTCTGGAGGAGAGACAGTGCAGGGGAGAAGGAGGAGTAGACAAAGTCAGGGGCCATAGCTGATAGCAGCTTACACTAGGGCTTAGCAGAGAAGTGCTAAGAAGCAGTCCTGAAATAGTGAGCAGCAGTGTTGTGTGAATGGTTAACAGTACCACCTGTGTGAGAAGATGGGGACAACGTCAGTAGTAAAGAGTGTAGGAAACCTGTTCCTCAGTGCAGGGACAGCATACACGCATAATTTCCCATGTTCCCATGGAAGTTTTACACTCTGGAGCAGTTCTTTTGTGAGGAGGAGGGACCGAAAGTCAGTATTTCACAAAATGCAAAGAAACAAACTGGAGTCAACAGTGTTAGGAAAGATTTTTCCAAACTGGAGATGATCTTTACACCTCGTTTTCTTCCAGAAGACTGTGTGGGAATTTCATGGCTTGCCAAGCTTTCATAGGTTCAGAAATTAAATTAACCCTGTCTTTGTCAGTCATTGCTTTGGTCAGGTTTGCATTTTTTTTTAAGTTTATTTATTTATTTGAGAGAGAGAGAGAATGTGTGAGTGGGGGGAGGGGCAGAGGGAGAGAAAGAGAATCTTAAGCAGACTCCCTGCCGAGTGCAGAGCCGGATGCAGGGCTCCACCCCATGACCCCGAGATCATGACCTGAGCCAAAACCAAGAGGCAGATGCTCAACCCACTGAGCCACCCAGGTGCTCCCAGGTTTGCATTTTTTGATAGCAGTTCCCATGACTGAGGTTTGGGTTTTTTTCCTTTTTTTTTTATTATGTTATGTTAATCACCATACATTACATCATTAGTTTTTGATGTAGTGTTCCATGATTCATTGTTTGCGTGTAACACCCAGTGCTCCATTCAGTACGTGCCCTCTTTAATACCCATCACCAGGCTAACCCATCCCCCTACCCCCCCTCCTCTCTAGAACCCTCAGTTTGTTTCTCAGAGTCCATAGTCTTTCATGGTTTGTCTCCCCCTCAGATTTCCCCCCCTTCATTTTTCCCTTCCTGCTATCTTCTTTTTTTTTTTTTTAACATATATTACTTGTTTGAGGTTTTATGTGAAAATTATTATGCTTTTTGTTCTCATCATGTTCATAAGATGGGTATGTAACCATGCATGTGGAAAGGATTATTTTTTGTTGTCTTAAGCATCACATAAATGTGAGCAGGCAGTGGTGATGCTGGGGGTCTGTGACAGGGGCCTGGGTACCCTGAATATGGTGAGAGACATGCTGTCCCCTGCTCTGTGCCATTTCTTCCCTCATCCTCCTCTAAGCTGTCTGTTCCAGATGCATGCACCCAATCTCCCATGACTTGAGAGCTCTTCTTACGCCATGCTTCCAGAACCCATAGACAGTGTACAGCACAAGCAAACAACTAGAACAAAGTTCTAGATGTTGCCAACAGATAACCTTGGGATGAAAATCAAATGGGGTCAGCTACAAATAGGGCAGGAAACCCTATTTTTAGAGGTCATTGTACCATGAGAAGCTTAATGAGATTCCATATCATTGTTAAGAGAAAATACTGTCTCAATATGTGGAAGTACAAGAAAAATATAAAGGAACTGTGATTTGGAGATCTCATCATCTGACCTGGACTGGATGACTTTGTCCAGTTCCCGATCTTATCATTAATGAGCATGTAGGCCAAGGAGAAAGTTATAAAGATGAATGAACAGTTAGTGGATAAGACCTCGAAGGAGAAGTTAAAAGGTGTGGTTCCCCTCAAAACAAACAGACCTCCCTTATATACAAAAGATACGTGTTCTTGGTTTGCATGGAATTCAAGAAAAGGAAAAGTAAGCAAACACTGATATGAAGACTATAACTTAGCTGTGAGAAAGAAAAATGCCCTTTGGCTGTTCTGAAGAACTTACTGCTATTTACATAATTAGTGGTGTTATTTTGTGTCTTCAGTGCCCTCTTGCAGACCCAGCACCTTCCAGGCACAAAACTCCATGCCTCAAAGTGACCAAAGGTGACCTTTCCAAACCCCCCTACCTGCAAGTTCCTCTGGATTTCAGTCATAGTATGATACTGACTGTGTATCTCCCCAGAATGAGGACCAGAATGTCTGTTTTATTTCCTACCACAAAGATAGATGGGGAGACCTCACAGGTTAAGTAAAATAATGGATGGGAAAATTAAAGGATGCTGCATTAAGTTCAAATGGGCACAACTATTCACTGAGCACTTTTAAGGGATTGGTATAGTTGGAGAAACAGTCTTGCTCCCTGTTAGAAGGGGATAAAATTAGGCTAGGATGATACCTGTTTTATTCTGCCTATTGATGTGTGTGTAGGTCACATATTTTTAGAACTTTTGTAATGTAAGAAGGTTTATTTTGATAAAATATGGTATTCATTGTGTAATTGGCATTCAGATTATTAATACTTTTGAGTAATACATGATTATCATTGTTGCTGAATTCTTAAGAGAATTTCTTATACCTATAAATTAAAGTGCTTTGGAAATGTGATTAATGTGAGTTTTTATTTTGGGTGGCCCAGGGAACAGATGTTGCAAATACTACTCAGGATAACAGAAGCTGTCATGCAGAAGCCAAAGGATAAACAAATAAAAGACTTGTTTGCCCAGAGCTTGGCAGGGTTACTGTTTAGGGTAAGTCTTTTTTATTAAAACACTGCAAATGCAAGAAATGAATCAGATTTTATAGCAAAATAGTTTTAATCATTGAGAATTTTGAGAGTAAAATTAAACTCTAAATTTCTAGAAATTTCATTGTTAATTTTCTTTTTTAGCTTTTTCTTAAAGGTTGTAATCTATTTATTTTATTTTATTATGTTATGTTAATCACCATACATTACATCATTAGTTTTTGATGTAGTGTTCCATGATTCATTGTTTGCATATAACACCCAGTGCTCCATGCAGAACATGCCCTCTTTAATACCTATCACCAGGCTAACCCATCCCCCCACCCCCCTCCCCTCTAGAACCCTCAGTTTGTTTCTCAGAGTCCATAGTCTCTCATGGTTCATCTCCCCCTCTGATTTCCCCCCCTTCATTTTTACCTTCCTACTATATTCTTTTTTTTTTTTTTAACATATAATGTACTATTTGTTTCAGAGTTATCGGTCTGTGATTCATCAGTCTTCCACAATTCACAGCACTCACCATAGCACATACCCTTCCCAATGTCTGTCACCCAGCCACCCCATCCCTCCCACCCCTCACCACTCCAGCAACCCTCAGTTTGTTTCCTGAGATTAAGAATTCCTCTTATCAGTGAGATCATATGATACATGTCTTTCTGTGATTGACTTATTTCGCTTAGCATAATACCCTCTAGTTCCATCCATGTTGTTGCAAAGGGCAAGATTTTGGGTTTTTTTTTTTTTTTGATGGCTTCGTAATATTCTATTGTATATATATACTACATCTTCTTTATCCATTCATCTGTCGATGGACATCTTGGCTCTTTCCATAGTTTGGCTATTGTGGACATTGCTGCTATAAACATCGGTATGCACGTACCCCTTCGGATCACTACATTTGTATCTTTGGGGTAAATACCCAGTAGTGCAATTGCTGGATTGTATGGTAGCTCTATTTTCAACTTTCTGAGGAACCTCCATACAGTTTTCCAGAGTGGCTGCACCAGCTTGCATTCCCACCAGTAGTGTAGGAGGGTTCCCCTTTCTCCACATCCCCGCCCACATCTGTTGTTTCCTGACTTGTTAATTTTAGCCATTCTGTGTGAGGTGGTATCTCATTGAGGTTTTGATTTGGATTTCCCTGATGCCGAGGTTGTAATCTATTCTTTACAGTTAGTGCTTGGCTTCTTGTAAGCCTTCCCACCTCTCTGCCATTTACTTCCTCTTTTGACTTGCTTGAGGTTGGTAGAAATTAGAAAGACAATAGGAGCTGATGTTCTTGGTGGAGTGCCAGGTAGATTTGAGGAAGTAAAAGGTAAATGGAAGCATGGGAATGGGGATAAGGTGAGGGAACGGTTCAGGCTAGAAATAAAAATGTAAGAGTCATTAGTATGTTGGGCTATGTGTTGAAGCCACAGGACTGGATGGGATCACCCTGGAGAGATTTTGTGTCCTAAAGAGGAGAGGGCCATCTCCATGGTTGGTGGAGGAGAGGAACCATCCAAAGATGCTGAGAAAGGGTGGCCAGGGAGCTGGGAGGGAAACTAGAGGCGCATGTGTCTGGATACCTGGAAACAAGGATTGGGGAAGAGGAGAATGGCCAGTTGACATTTTTTTTTTTTTTGGCAAGATGTCACTGGTTGAGAATATTCTAGGGGAATGAGGCCCACTTGGAGTGGATGGAGGAGAAAATGAGAGTTGGGCAATAGAGGTAGAAAGTAATAGTTAAGGCTTTGCAGAGGTGGAAGAGAGGAGGAAAAGAGGAGCTACCTGAATGGGTAGCATGAATGGAAGTCAGAGTTTAACATGGGTGGTTTTAAAGTCTTTTTGCTTGCAGTGAGAGGGGTCCAGTGAGTACAGCCTGGGGGAGAGAGAGGAGAACTAAAGAAGTCTTGGATAAGGTGAGCGGGACTGGGCTGGCCCTAGGTGGGAGCAGAGAACCAAAGAGATGGCTGTATCTCTTACATCTCACATGGTGGGAAGGGTTAAGAATCTGAGTAGTCTGACATCACCCTGAGGGGAAGAGAAGAGGAAGCAGATGATAACATAGGAAGTAGAAGTTTTAAAGGGTCCTGAGGGTGGTAGCCTATTGCAACATTGCTCTAGAAAGCACTAGTATTTATGGGATGCACAGAATTTATGGAGCATTTCTGAAAGAGAACAGTGTGAAAGAACTCTGTAAAAGTGTAACAGTCTATACAATAGAGACAGTACAATAGATGGGCCTGCTTTGAGTAATTTGGTGGAAGATAGTATGGTGGATCATGAGCTAGAAGTGACGGTTGTAGGCAATTGCCAACTTCCCCCCTCAGCTGACTTGAAGGAGGTTTTAGAGGATATATACTAAGAGCATATCTAGAATACAGGTAGGAAATGGAGGGTGACACAGGAGAAACTAGTTCTTTAAATAAGGTTATATATTCCCTTTGTAACACAAGAGAACCCAATTGTTCATATTAATTTTTAATAATTTAATATGATCAAATGATCTTGGCTTGATGAAAAATATATGAGAAGCATGTACTCACTTGCCTCCTGAATAGTATAATCACTCTGATTGCCTTGCCTAGTTATTAGATACATGAAGTGGTCTACACATCATTTTGTGTGTGTCCAGCCTTGCCGCAAGGGTGGTACTGAACACTTGCTTTGCTTCTCGCCCAAAGCACAGACACTCTGCTTACTTGGCTCTGACTCTCCTGGAGAGTTTCACTGTCGGCACCTTCTCAGTCTCCCTGCCCTGATGGGCCTGGGGCTGCCAAGTGAAGTGGACTGAAGCCAGGCTCAGGCTAGTGGGTGCTTGGGCCTCATTCCTCACCAGTTGTCTGGCCATGCTTTTATGGGATGTGTTGCAATTGGAGCAAGAACTTGTCACTGAATTAAGCAAGAATCTATTCTGAAGTTGTATTTTTTGGTTTGATTAATTTTGGTTGGGGAGAAAAGATCCCCTTTTAATGGAGAATCTTGTCAGATCTTGAAAATTAGTTTTAAGTCCATGATTATTAATGATTTTGATGTCATCGTTATTATTTTGGAAATGGTTAGATGGATCAAGAAGAATGCTTAAATTAAGAAGCAACATAAAATAGTGGAGAGAGGATGAGCTTTTTGGAGGTAGACAGATTCTGGGTTCTGATCTCAGCTCTGGTACTTCCTGGCTGTGTGGCCTTGAGCAAATCACTTCACCTTCCTGAGTCTCTTCCCTAATCTGTCACAATCAGGAAAGGATTCCTTCTGACTTTGCAGGGTTGTCATAAGAATCAGAGTGGGTTCATCTGGGATTTATGATCATCTGTTGACCTCCCAAGCTCTTTTGTGGAATCCAAGGGGGAGAGAAAAATGTGAAAGGTCTGGACAGCCCTGCCAGGCAACCAAGTGGGCATCATCTTAATTCCATATTAAAATTAAACGTGCCATCACATTATTATTTGTTTGTTCACGTAGACTGTCTACAATTGCCAGGCTTGATTTTTAAAAATTTGAATAAGGAAACTATTAAAGGGGACAGAAAATTTTGAGTTGCCATTGTCCTTTTATCTTTTTTGAATTTTTCCTCTAGTGTTTAGTTTCTTCTCTCAGTAGATAACTTGGGTTGGCAAATTTTCTTTAAATGATAGTTAGGTTTTATTTAGATATTTACCAGATGGTGTTTGCCATAAGTGATATTTTAATCTCTTATCAGTGTTAAATAGGACCTTATGCTTGAAGCTCTGAAAGTAAATCAGGAAACCTGGACTATGGTCCTTCTAATTACAGTACTTAAATTATATAGTCCCCTAAGTGTAGTGAGTAGAGGAATGCAGCAAGTGGTTGGTTAGGAAACAGGTGTAAGAAAAGGAGTGGTTTATGAACGGTTGTATTTTTTTTATACAGCTTGTTTGCCAAGATGTATTTGAATTTCAGTGCTGGAGGAAGTTTGGAGATGTTCTTATTCACTTTAGTTTTGACCAGAAATGACTCCAGAAAAGCCAAGTAAATAGCCCAGCTCACAAACCACATTAGTGACAGAACCCCGAGACCAGGGCTCCCTGTTTCCCTCTTCCTAGACAAGGGTAACTTGCTTAGGGAGCAGCCTGCCTTCTTGCGCAGACGTGCCACCCCTCCCCCATACAGGAGGCTGCACAGTTTTGCACTGGGTTCAGATATTGTTAGCTGTGATTTATGATGATGATGATGATTCGCCAGGTCTGGCACATGTTTGTGAGATTTGCTAAGATGAAATTTATTTATTTATTTGTTTATTTATTTATTTATTTTTGATGGTTTGTATCTTCAACTTTTATTTAAAGTAGACCAAGGCTCATCCCAAAGAAGTTTCCACGTGGACTCCTATCTGTGGCCATTTCTCTTCTCTGTTGCTTTTTACTTTTATTTATTTATTTTTTATTATTATGTTAATCAGCATACATTACATCATTAGTTTTCGATGTAGTGTTCCATGATTCATTGTTTGCATATAACACCCAGTGCTCCATGCAGTACATGCCCTCTTTAATACCCATCACCGTGCTAACCCATCCCCCCACCCCCTCCCCTCTAGAACCCTCAGTTTCTTTCTCAGAGTCCATAGTCTCTCATGGTCCGTCTCCCCCTCCGATTTCCCCCTTCATTCTTCCCTTCCTGCTGTCGTCGTCGTCTTCTTCTTCTTCTTTTTTTTTTTTTTTTTAACATATAATGTATTATTTGTTTCAGAGGTACCGGTCTGTGATTCAACAGTCTTGCACAATTCACAGCACTCACCATAGCACATACCCTCCCCAATGTCTATCACCCAGCCACCCCATTCCTCCCACCCCACCCTCCATTCCAGCAACCCTCAGTTTGTTTCCTGAGATTAAGAATTCCTCATATCAGTGAGGTTATATGATACATGTCTTTCTCTGATTGACTTATTTCACTCAGCATAACACCCTCCAGTTCCATCCACATCGATGCAAATGGCAAGATCTCATTCCTTTTGATGGCTGCATAATATTCCATTATATTACATCTTCTTTATCCATT